CCTCGATCGCTCGTCGAATCTCCTCGATCTCCGCAATCCCAGTCTTGTTCAGGTCGCCCTTCTCTCGATCATTGATCCCCTTGATTTTTGGTCGATCGTTTATGCCGCCTTTCTCAGAGAACAAATCTTGTTCTCGCGCTTCTCCACATGGCCTTCTAGGTTCTTCGTGGTCGCCAACAGAAACACTCCGCGCTTGTTCATATCACCCTTGAGATGTGTTCCGTCCAGACCGATGACGTGTCGGCAGTGTACTTGAAGGCATGCCCCTGGAAAAACGCAAGCCCTTCTGAACATGTTATTCTCGCGCCTGCCAAACCCGTAGCTTGTCTTGGAGTTCGCATCACTCACCATGGCTAGATATCCCTCCAGCTTCTGGTAACTCCCGACGACGTCGGCGCGCAGCGATTTGAGAAGATCCCGCTTGATCTTGGATGCCGCAGTTCGGTTCGTTATCATCCCCTTAGTCATCAAAAAGTCGATGATAGCCCGCCCTGTGCCCGAGGCCCACGTTCCGCTGTAAGAGGGGAGCAACTCACGCTCAACGACGCCCCTCATCACTCGGTAGGGCACATCGCGAAATCGCTGACGGGAGGTATCTCCTGCGAGACCGCCTTCAACAAAGGTATCGCCCTGAAAACCGCCGTGTCTGAAGTGGTCATGGGCCAGACACATCCTTGTTATCTTCCAGTTGTTGCGGATCCCGTACACCGTAATGAAAAATGGGCAGTTGGCAGTGCTGCCTGGAATGAGCTGCTGCTGCCCTTTCACCGCCTTGCAAGTGTACTTGGCGTTTCCTTCTTGACGACGAGAGTGATAGCTGTTGTTGGCCACGCGAATGGAAAAGCCACGGGCTCGAGCAAACTCGCGACAGCGTTGCAGCAGAGCCTTTTTCGACTCAAACGTCACAGACGCAACGTTGTTCCCATGGTCGGAAACTACGCCGTAAGAAGAGGGGTCGCGGGGATCCAAGCCGACATCTAGCTCAGGTCGTAGCATGCACATCTCGATAAGTTCGGCGATGTCCGCTTCTTCGACAGCGGATGAGGTGATCATGGGCGAAGACATTGTCCGGGTGACCGAAACAGGAGAGGTGGTAGAGGTGTTGAGGCGTGTAGTTGGGTGGGTATCCGACAAAAAGACGAATGAGCCCTGCAGTGAAAACTCGCGAGCTAAGAGAACACGGGCTAAACGAGGTGGTTATGAAACTCCTACAGAGATGTGTTGCTAAGCTCCGGCCCAAGATACTGAAAAAAAGTATGAACGTCCGTTTCAAAATGTACGACAAGAAGCTCAGAATACCGCGAAGGGATATGCTCGGAATGCCCGTCCGTTTTAAAACTTACGAGTCGTAAGTTATTGCTGTCGTACGTTACAATAAACGTAAGAGTACTTAACAGAGGCGTGGCCTGCTCAGAATGCCCGTCCGTTTTAAAACTTACGAGTCGTAGGTTGTTGCTTTCAGACTTTTCAACAAACCCAACTGTACTTATCAGACGCGCGGCCGACGAAGTTTTAATACAGAACCAAGTGCGTTAGTTTGGTCTGCGTGCATACAATTCTACGAAGCGATGATGTAAACTTACACATTAGCATTACGACACTCTTACTCTAAAAAGGTAATTTCGTACGATATTACTTGGCCCCGGAAAACAGTTATTTTTGCCCATAAAATTAACGTTCAATTCGGATATGATAAAACGTTATTTATGACTGTGGCAATCTACTTGCAAATTGATGCATTCACCTACTTAGACTTTTACAAAAAGGCTTCAATCTACTTGAAACTTAATTCCTCGCGCGTATGTCATCTCCTGCATGATTTAGCACATCCAGCATGGATTAGCATCCTTTTGGCACTTTCCGAAAGTGCCATTTCCGAGCCAAGCTGGCTTCGAAACACGACTCCAAAGCCACTATGATTTACCACTAAGTACGAACACTATCTAGTGCACTAATTAGGAGGGAAAACCGGTTGCAAAGCACAATATCATAGAGCACATATATATCATAGAGCACACTTTCGATTATCCAATGAAAGCCATATAATTCACACTTGAAATAAGACATTCAATCTCGGAGCCTGATAGCCGCGCTCGTTGCGTTACGCCATTTTGAATGGCGCGAACAGGTAGAACGCGCTTAAAAAGTGAAGGTGACGCGCGGCCAAAGCAGTACGAGCGCTCGTTGCGATTACTTAAGTACGTACGAGTTCAAGCTGTGGGTGCTTCGATTCCTAGACACTACACCGATGGCAAAAACGGTAGCTAACGGAAAACGCCAATTTGTATACCGCATACTATTGAATTGAACACTTGTCAAATCTAGAAAGATATACAAATAGGAAGGGGGTTATACTACCAAAGTAGCTCCGACGCATTCAAGTCTGAAATATTGTGTGTAGAGCTAGCTACGTTCTGCAAAATCTCTTTGATGGCATCCTGCCAACGTATGTACCAGTCTTCAAACCATGGAGACATCCATAGATTGCGCAGAGTTGGTTCACAACGTCTCTCATGCCGTTAGATGCAAGCAGAACTTAGACCAACAACCAAAACCATTTTTCTTTGGGTACCTTACGGTAATTTTGCGTAAAGTTACACAAAATGCAAACAGTACCGAATACAAGTGTCAGTTTTTAAACTGTGGTCTTTAAAAAGATAAAAATAACCGGATCTTGCTTGTCGTATTTGACAAAGTAATACTTACACGGAAAATAAACGGTGATTTTCAATTTTAAGACATCTCTTAGCCAATCAAAAGGTGTTTACATGCTAAACTTCACATAAATTTCAAGAAAATTATAAGTACTCAACGTTCTATACGGTTTGGTTGAGGTATACAAATTGGCGTAGGTACAATAGCTTTGTATACTGAGCACATTCTATTAGATTTGAGAGGAGGTATTCAATTCGGGAAGGGTACGCTATTTGGCGCGATCCGTTAAGTATTTTCCTGACGGGAAGGTGATTCCCTTCATTTCATTTTCATCCGGGCTTCAGGAACAAACTTTGCCAGGAGGTATTTCACCGTCTTGGCCGCGATAGTTTCCGCCAGATCGAAGGTCACTCCAGGAATCTCGTACACGTCCATGATCTTCGTGAATATTAACCCTATCGTTAACGCCATACATTTCTGTTTGAAGGGACACCATACAAACTTTAAGTAAAACGGGGTAAAATGATGCATGAGGTATCATTTTGCTGTATTAGGTTTGCGAGGCCAACTGATCAAAAGTATACGTGATGGGAGGTTTGAAGCGACCTTTCGATCAAAAAGATACGTGAGGCATCATTTTACTGCTTCTCTGTGATTCGCTGCGAATCGACAAAAGTATCAGTGGAAGCAGTACCGTGAGAACAGCACCCTAACAAAACTTTAGTAAGAGCAGTACCGTGGATCACAGCGCCATCTTGTGGATTATGTGGGGCTTTTCCTAGTTGTGAAGCGGCGGCGCCGTGGTCTCCGATGCGACGCTGGCGAATATGGCGGCTGTCCTGGACCTGGCCGGAGCGTCTTCGACGGCGGCGACAAGCACGCGATGACTGCGGGCATCTCGGGCAGCGGGCGAAATGGCTACGGGAGCGCCGTCACCACCGTCAACAGCATGGTCTCGGAGGCTTCCGCGGCGACCGTGGCCGTGTTGGACGTGATCGGGGGCGTCTCCGCTGGCATGGTCACGAACGCGACGGTGGCATTCGGCTCGGGCAGCGAGCGCAACGACAGCGGCAGTCCGCATGCAGGTTGCCGCCGGTAGTAGCGTCAGCAGCGCCGCCAGCGACATCGACAGAAGGGTCTCGTACACGATGGAGATGACCGTGGCCTTGGTGGATGTGGGCGCAATGGGTATACGTGCTGGAGCAAAGGATCACCGTATTCAGACAGCTTTGGGTTTCGTTAGAATTATCAATTCACACTAGATGAAACATTACTTGAGATATTACATTCAACTTAATTGCATATTGCTCTGTTACTAGGGGGAGGACATAGTAACTTCAGTAACGTGTTTTCACCTTGGAGCGTCCTGCCCTGTGAATCAACTGGATATCACCCATGATAGCGGGGAGGCCAAAACCAGCGCGGCCTTAGAGCTTGTGGTGCCAAGTCGAGAGGTTGCTCTTGAAGCCATTGGGGCGAGCGGTGGTATGCGCGCTTCTCGCAAGAGCATGTCCAGTGAGCTTGATCCTTGAGTTGGTCCGCCAGCATATCGACTCTGTCCATAGCTGTGGCTAGATCGGCAACTATGTTGTAGCGTTTCTGCAAGTCAAGGCCTTCCTTATAATGGTTCATGAGGGTGTCGTGTGGTGTGGAAGGGTCCGCCTCCATCGCGATAAAGCGCTCGATATGTTCGTCTTGTTCCTCGCGATACCGCAACAAGTTGGAGTTTATACATTTTAGACGTGCCCGAGTTTGCGGTCGCGTGATCTACATTTTCATATCGAATACAAACATAGATATCATTACCCGTAACCAGCCACGATACACATTTTGGCTTACCTCAGACAGCTCCATGCACGTCTCCTGCCAACGCATCATCCAGATAAAGTTGTGCGCACGGTCATCTTCACCGCGACAAATCGCCACGTAGAGGTCGTTCATCTCTTTCACGGGCAGTGCAATTATGAAGTCGTCTATGTCGATCGACGTGCCACATCTCGCTTCGGTTCTCTACAGGTAGGCACTGATTAGCTTTAGCCAAACGTTATTGCGTAGCTACACGAACTTACCCGCTCTCGCCCAGAAGGGGTCACAAATACTGGATACAGATTGTCGAACTCCAGTTGCTCACCGGCGCTACACAAAGCCAAAGACTATATATGCGATGAGCATCAGCACGGCCGAAACAATGTCATCACTACCATTTCAAGCGTCTTGGACGATCCGTAAATTCGCCTTCCATCGCTTGCATGCGTCTTCGTTGGTCCTGGCAACTATCCATACATAGCCGTTCGTATTAGCACTAGCATAACAACACGATGCCGAAACAGCCAAAACACGTACCTCTACATTCGGTCGTTGATGCTGTCGTGCAGGAACTGCTCCAGCAAGTAGCCGTTGGCGGCGTGCAGCTCGACGCCGTCGAAGCCCGCGCTGATGGCGTTCTCCGCGGCCGAGCGGTAGTCCGCCACGATGCCCGGGATCTCGCTCGTCTCGAGCGCGCGCGGCGGCACGGGCTCCATGCGTCCTTCGCGCGTGACGATCTTCTTGCCGGTGCGGATGTTCTCGAGCTTGGAGCTGGACGACACGGGCAGGACGCCGCCCGGCTGGTTGAGCGGGTGCCCGACGCGGCCCGTGTGCCACAACTGCAGGAACATCCTGCCGCCCTGGGCGTGCACGGCCTCGGTGACGTGGCGCCAGGCCTCGACCTGCTCGGGCGCGAAGATGCCCGGCGAGCCCCAGGACCCGCGGCCCGTGGGCGAGATGTTGGTGGCCTCGGCGATGATGAGGCCGCCGGGCGTCGCGCGCTGCTTATAGTACTCGACGCCCAGCGCCGTCTGCACGCCCTCCTCGCCCGTGCGCAGGCGCGTGAGCGGCGCCATCACCACGCGGTGCAGTAGCTGCACGGGGTCCTTCTTGCCGTCCAGCGTCAGCGGCGTGAACAGCTTGGCGGCCATGTTGATCGGGAGATCTGCGGAGCAAGTGGCAAGATCGAAAGTGTCGATGTGCAGTCATGACCACGCATCCAGGCTCACCTGTACATGTAGGCTTGCGTCATCGACAGGATGACGAAATCGAGCGTCTCAACAACGGGCACAAAGCTGCTTCGGCTTGGTGCTCTGGGGTGATCGCTGTGGTGACTTGTACAGGAGGGCAATGCCCATTGGGCTTCAACATTACACTGTCGAGGGCTCCGCAAGCACCAGATCAGCGTTGGCAGCGCAGCCGTCACCCTACTTGCACACACAGGCGAAGAAAGCACGGATGAGTTGGTCTTCAATGGAAAAGAAAGCAGAGTGAGTTCTCTCAAGCCTCCAAGCCTCAGTTCTGAATTTGCGTTGTGGCGGTCTTAGAGGTCTTCTTCGGGGGAGTTGATGCGTACGAGCTCGATCTTCTGGGGGTAGCCTGGTTGGCTGGGTGTGGTCACGATTTGTGCGAGAAGCGGAAGCGCTCAAACCCAGCGACAAAGGACGCTGGCCGCGTGCGGAAGAAGAAGAAGGGAAGAAGGCAGTCTACGCAGGGCATATATTTTCGCGCGGAATGACCGAATCATGGCAGCCCACACCGGTCGGGCTGCCTACGCGGCTGCGATGCAGGAGGCCCAGCAGGCATCGCGGATGGTTGATGGGGCCCCTGTTGCGGCGGCGGCGGGTGGGAATCACTTCACGGCTGTCCACGTACACAACTACGCTGGAGCTGGTTTTGGTTATGGAGCTATACCCGAATGACTCCAGCCTGGTTCATCCCGCCACTCCAAGTATTTTCATCGATTTAGAGGAGGCCAGAGACCACCAAGACCAGTCGCGTCAGCATCCTCCGAGTCTCGTGTCGACCAAGAAGAGCAGAAGGAAGGGGAGAAGAAGACGCTCGGGTTGCTGCTGAAACTAAAGCTGCCAAGGCTGCTGCCGCTGCGGAATAAGCCGCTCGCCAGGAAGAGCAGGCCCGTCAGGCGGAGATCGAGAAAGTTATGGTGAGTCAGGTCTTTGGCGTCTGCACTGAGCCGACGGGGCAGCCTCCGGAGGGTGCAAATACGAGTTCGTACGCCTTAACGCTGATGAAGGAGGCTTTAGTGGCGGCTACAACGTCAATACAGACAACAAGATATTATCGTTCTATTCTCCTCGAGCTCTACTGCAGATACCATTACCTTCTCAGGCCTGGAAAGTTTCGTGGAGTGACCACCTTCATCAATCAATGCTCCTGTCGTAAACTAAAACCATTCTTTGGCTTCCAGCACTTTTGCCTCTGATACCGGCCCACTCTTCTCGTAACATGGCTCCATGGCTCACCCATACATTACACTGCGCCCGCTTCAATCGTCCGTGTTTCCGCCACTTCATCGCTCCCTTCTTTCTTCATCACCCCATGATAATTTACGATAATTTACGTTTCCCTGTGTTATTTCCTTGCAGTACTCTCGCCAATGAGTTATTAATAACACAAATGGCTCGAACGATGGCAAGCTTTCCCCTCTAGAGCTTCGCTAAGTTGGATCAAACACCAGATGCAGCGTCCGATCTGAATACGCTTCAACCGAAAATGCCTCTGCTCTAGCAGAAACTATTGCGGTCGAAACGGCAGAAGACCTCATAGCAAGTTCTTATCGAAAAGGACATGGATCGACTCGCGGTTGCGTTGGTCTCACGATACGTCGAGAAAGCTCCAAACATCTTGCTATCTATCTGCCCAATGCTGGAAAGAGGACAACTACGCAACGTACAAGTTGTATGTGTGTCAGTTACGAAGTCGAATGGTGTGTGAACTCGCGTTCAGGTAATATCCAAAATAAATTTAACGTTAGCTACTCGGCCCTGGTTCTGAACTTGTGGGCGCGGTGAACAATTCTCCAAAGTTTCCGGAGACTACGAGCAAGGGTCGTCGCTGGATGTTTGATCCCGCCCTCGACATTGGGGCCACGTCCAATTTATTGAAATCCTAGGCAGGTGACGATTTTGTTGCGCAGCTTTAGCGGAGAACGGGAACTTGGAGTCGGCTATCATTGCTGCGGAGGTCGTCGTGATACATCTTCAGACGCTTCGGGTCATCGTCTCGAATTTCAGCACACTTGCTGCATTCTCCTGAAATAAACCACACAAAGCAAATGAGGCCAGTACGACTCAGGCATAAGGGGTTGGATACTGGAGTTCTTGTCGTTGGCGTAGTCGTGTCCGGCCACGCCCTCTCAGTCAAACTGCTGCATGTATGTACAATATCGGACCACGCATGAACTCGTGGCTTGCTGGCAAGTTGCCGACGGCAATACGTTGTTGCCCTTGCACTTCTTGCACCTGCAAAGCAAGCCCGCATAACCAGAGTCGATGAATTACCATGATCCAGTAGAAAAGTACTGGATCGCCCCCCAGGCCGACCGAAAAACAAACTACTGTCACAGTATTTGCTAAGTTCGTGATGCGTATTTATCAAGACGTATCTACCTACTCTCTGCGAGACTGGATCCTTGCGCTGCGTCGTGTCGGTCGTCGATGGTGAGTCCGACGTCTCCCTCTTGTCGATTGGTAGACCCAGATGAAGTCGATCGATTCGCGTTCGAATCGTAGCTTCAGGCGCATCGGAACGTGGCTTCCCGGTTCCCATGTAAGCTCCCGGTACCCAACCCATTGGATGAGATAATATACTCTTACGTTGATCCACCTTTTCGCGTATATTCGCTCTACCTCACATCCACGCCTCTCTGGGCCCTTCGATTGCTTGCGAAGAGGCCACCACCCCTACGTCGTTCTTCTCGGAGTCCACCCCCGACTGATGATTCTTCCTCTTCCTGCTCGTCGGTGTCTTCGTTGCTGACGTCATGAGCGGAAATACCGGGATTCAGTCGGAGACGGTAAAACGAGCCGTCCAGGCGGCGCTGGATGTTCCGGGCGTGGCGCTGTCGTGGGTTAAGGCGTGGCATTGCGCACAAAGCAGAATGGGGCTTGCCGAAGCGCTGAAAATGTAGTTCGCAGTCTATTTCTATTCTAAGTGTTGCCTTAAAATAAATACAGTAGACTTCAGCCCGGAGGTCAGGTTGTGATTTGGCTAAATTTAACGTAGTTAAATTGCAAAATTCAGATTGCAGTAGCATATTGCACCATTGCGGCTTAAATTATACAAAAAGGGTGTACCATGGAGTGGTACATTCGTAGAGTTCCTACTCCTTCCAGAGTTTAAGAGATTTTCACGAAATATTTTACTCGCGTGTTTTTAGGGTACCACACTAGAGATCTATCGGTTTAGATTTTTAATATACCTTACCCAAATATGACTCAGCAACACTTGCATATTTGATTAGAATTGTCGGAAAGCACAATATCTATTAATTATGAAGTGTTGTTTGTCAAAAATACAGATCGATAAAGTATAAATTGGCTTTGCCCGACGAAGCTTATTCTTGTCCCTACAGCGCGTTTTTTACAATCTTTCGCTTGTGTTGTGGCCTCTTCCCTGGCTTCAACCCTCTTTTACCAATCCGTTCAGGAGTGGGTTCAAATTGTGGAGGAAGAATTGTGTCGTCCCGCTGTAAGGTTGCTGTTGTCGGGCAAGGGAGAAATTTGAATGTGTACGAATCGCGGAAGTGCTCGATCGACATACGCTTGGCGTCATACAAATCTTCGATTCGTCGGCCATCCTTGGACACAAGGGAACATTTGGTCTTGCCAATTGCCGCACGTGCACTCCAGCGCTGGCAAATCCACTACCCGGTCTGGGTGAACATATCCTGGTATGGCAACAGGGCCCTTGAACAAGACGCTGTACGCACCCTCGAGAAGGGGTGTAAACTCGCACATATCAGCTGCAGCTTGGCGGTCTGTACGTCGCTCTAACAACTTGGGGACTAAATCCGAGAGTGCGCCAGATTTTGTCCACGTTACAATCAATTGTCGCCTTTTGGACATCAGTTGACTCAGCTTCAAGAAGTACAAGTGGAATCCGTCCAAGGGTTTGGCGGTCCGAAGCTCTTTACCCATCCAGTTGTTCGCTTGCTCTGACAAACTTGAGGTTATTTCGTCGAAAGTCGGGAGATTAAACTTTTCTTGGAAACTGTATTTCACCCAGTGAGCACGTTCGATTCCGTCCAGAAAATTCGCAGCGGCAGGGTTGTTCACGGCGAGTTCACTTCGATACAGCTTATAGTCATTTTCACAGTCGCTGCGTGCCATTCGGCATACCCACGCACGGTCTTCCTGGGACAACCTGGAACATTTCCTGTTAATGTTGTCCATGATATGCCGCAGGCAGTATCGATGGCCAGCGTTTGGGTAAATTGTCGCGACAGCTGGAAGCAGACCTTTTTGTCTATCCGACAATATCGTGAACTTTTCCCAGTCAACTGCCTCCTTGAAAGCTCCCAGGAACCGAATCCAATTGGCCTTGTCCTCTTGTGAAACCAGCGCGAGTCCAACTGGAACGATGTGGTTGTTGTAGTCTTTCACGGTAGCTACCAGATAAATGCCCTGTTCGTACATTTCCTCTTTAAGGTGGACCCCGTCAAAGCCGACCACCTTTTTGCAGTTCTGGGCAATGTTAATACCAGCGTTAGGGATGAAGCACGCTCGACCAAACGACGATTCGTCCGCGGCAGTTTCCACTCTCCAAACCGATCCGGGGTTCTTGTGCGCCATCAACTCGAAGTACGCCCGCATTTTTTGGTAACTTTCTACCAAGTCGCCGTGAATTTTGTCGTCAATTTTCGGCTTCATTCTGGACACCGATGTACCGCTCCTTTCGATTTCAGAAAATTCCTGATAGCGGCGCCTGACATAGAAGCCGTAGATCCATCGTGGGCGGGAAGCATCTCGGTCTCGACAATCGCTGTCAGCTTGCTTATCTGCTGCGTGGTATTCCGCATGGGCTTGGACGGCAACGGGATGGACCCTTCAACACAAGGACCCTTGGCACTACCAACGAACTTGAGGTGATTGTGCGCAAAATTTGCCTGGGTAATCTTCCACTTCCCCGATTTCCCGTGAACATTCACGGAAAACCGACACGTGAGTTAGGCAGCTGGTGTAGTCCGGTCGAAATATTGCGTTACATTGAGCGCCTTGTACGCAAATTTCGCATTACCGGAGTTGTCGGCCTTCACACTGGTCTGCTTCACAAAAATCTGGAAGCCGCACCTCACAGCCAAATCTTTGGACTTGCTGTGGACTGCTTTTTGTGAAGAATGACTGAATTGGCAATATTCTCTCGGAGCTGGTAGGCCAAGCCATACGTTGAGCTTGTCGGGTTCGTCGACTCGACTGCAACATCGTCCCTGAGTAGTCCCAACTCCTTGGCAGCTTCGAGATCAGACACGTCGAGTGAAAAGCGAGCAGAGCCGTAGTTTGGGGGGTTTCTTGCTCTTGACTTGGACATTTGCACAATGCAGCAGAATATAGCTGTGAATCACCCTTTAGAGAATTATTTATTATTCAAGTCTACTTGGTTTTTATTTAGCACTAGCCTTCGAAATCTTACCTCCCACGTATCTATTTCAGGTGTCCCGCAAATAAACCGAGAGCTCAAAGTTAGCCCATAAATGGTTGATAGGTTCGCAAGTGGCGTGCCGGGCGTACTTAGGATTTTTTTACTGTATGAAGAAAATGGCTGTCGGCCTGGGGGACGTTCCAGTACTTTTCTACTGGATCATGGTAATTCCTCACCAGAGTCAGAACTGCGCGCTCTGATTGGCTCATGCCATCCCAATCTTTTCAGCCATCACGCCAATCAGTTCCGCACTCACTGCCGTCTCGATGGGCCAGCACCTCAGCACCGGGCGCGAGAGCGACGTCTCCGCGGGGGACGCGGCGGAGGGCCCTCCCTCCTCCACGCTGTCCGCCGCCTTCCCCGCCGCGTCCCCGTCCTCCGCCTCCTACTCCGTCACCTCTAACGCCGCTGACAGCAGCGCCAATGGCCCGAGCCTCCTGTCCGCCCAGCGCCCCACGCTCGAGCCCCACAAGGTCGACACCGTGCAGCAGGACGAGCGCGAGGGCTCCGTGCGCCTCGGCGACGTCGTGCGCGACACGCTCGGCTCCTCGTCGGGCGCGCACGACCAGGAGCCGTCCGCACACCAGCTGCAGCCGCTGGAGCTGCAGAGCGACGACGAAGACGGCGGCTTCCCGCGCGTATCGTCCGTGGACTCGTTCCCGTCGCCGCCGTGCAACGTCAAGACGGACGACGCGCACCCGCTCAAGCGCCGCAGCTCCATGTCGCGCACGCCGGCGCCGCCCAAGCTGTCGCGCTTCCGGCCGTCCATGGACATCGTCCAGTCGCCCAAGTCCCCGCAGTCCGGCTACCTGTCGAGCTCGGACTCGCGCTCCGTGGACTCGAGCTCCAGCTCGTCCGACGAGGACCTCGTGGGCAGCGGCGAGGAGCTCGTGAGCGACTGGCTGGACGAACCCGAGGACGCCGTGCTGTCGCCGCCCTCCATCCCCAAACGCGCGCGCCACGCCAGCGCCTGCTCCTCCGTGTCGTCCCATACAGGGAACAGCGTGTCGTTCTCGGCCATGCACAGCAGCGGAGGCCGCAACAGCAACAGCAGCCAGCACAGCATGACGGGGTGGGCGTCGTGGCTCAGCTCTCCAGACGACGTCGAGGAAGAGGAGGACGCGGACGATGAGCCCGTGGCTCTGACGCCCTTCTTGCGCGATAACATGCCCGTGTAAGAAGTGATGAGACAGGTGCAGCTCTTCCGGAACCTCAGTCAGATGCAGCAGGAGCAGGTGGTGCGCGCGCTCAAGCCGTGCAAGTTCTCGGACGGTGAGGTTATCGTGGCCCAGGGAACGCGTGGCTCGCGGTTCTATATGATTGCCAAGGGAGAGGCTGTTGTGACCAAGAAGGTTGTCGCGAGCAGCAACAGCATGACTGGATCGACTCCCACAGGCGCGGGGCAGACGCAGGAGCGCATGATCACACACTTGCGAGCGGGTCACTACTTCGGCGAGCTGGCACTTATCTACGATGACCCGCGTACAGCCACTGTGCGCGCTGTTGGCGACGTTGAGCTCCTGTACTTGACACAGGAGGATTTTCAGCACATCGGCCAAGTCCACCTGAGTCTGATGCTGCAGCAGGTGCCGTTGCTCGCGAGACTGAGTGCGCAGGACCAGGACATCGTGCTCAAGTGCTTGCGGCCAGCAAACTTCAGTGATGGCGAGTACATTGTCCACCAGGGAGACGAAGGCACGCGGTTCTACATGATCACGCGTGGCGAGGCTATTGTGTCGGAGAAGGCTGTGGGGCCTGACAAGAAACCGTATGAAAAGGAATTGACGCGGCTGTACGAGGGCCACGTTTTCGGCGAGATGTCGCTCATCTACAGCGAGCCTCGTACGGCTTCGGTGCGAGCGGTGGGCCCAGTCAAGTGCCTGTACCTGAGTAAGGAGGACTTTGACAAATGTCTCCTTTCCGACCACTTCCAACGGTTTATTCAGGAAGCCTACGTGGAAAAGGCTACGCGGCGTGCCATGCGACTGCGTCTGCAGCAGCGTGCTAATAGTGCCGCATCCAATGCCCCCACGCCACAGGCCGAAGGTTCCGGAGCGAACAGTTCGTCAGGTTCTATTGTGGCGCCGCCTCCAGCTCCCATATCACCCGTGAAAGCGACAGAAACCAAGAAGCTGTTGCTGTATCTCGCTGCTCCGTTTCCACGACTAGTATCTCCGATCCCAGACCCAACGATTGAGACCACACTCCGCGATGCCAACCGCCTGTACCCTACAGACCGGCCTTGCTGGGGCTGGTGGAACGCTTCCATCGGTCCTGGAAGGACATGGTGGCGATGTATGTGGCGGAGGCTCAGGACGATTGGGATCAGTGGCTGCACTGTTCAGCGTACGCGTACAACGGGGCGAGACACTCGGGCACAGGCTACAGCCCGAATGAGCTCATGATGGGAAGGAAGCTGCGCGCGCCGAGCGAGCTGCTTCGCAGCAGCGGCGTCACGCAGACCGGGCCGTTTGCGGTGTACTACCGCAAGCTGGTCGACAACATGGCAAGGGTGCTTAGCCTGTAGAGCCTTCACCAATGAGTCCAACACCTTGCCGTTCAACTCCGGCGCTCCGTCCATGACGACCTCACGCATGGGGCCGTACACGAACACCAACTTGTCCGCAATGAACTTCGCGATGTCCGGCGCGGTGTGCGTGGGCACAGCCGCCACCACCGCATACCTCGTAGCGTAGTCTATCGCCGCCACTGCATACCGATTGCCCTTCGGCGTGACGGGCAACGGCCCGCCACGTCGAGCGCCCAGCGATCACCTGCATTTCCCACGCCCTGATTTCTCAGCAGGGGAATCACCTCCTTCGGTTTCGTCTTCTTCGACCCGCAGTCTCTGCATGACTGCACCCATCTCCTTACGTAGGCCCGCATATCTGGCCACCAGTAGTTCCTTGTCACGCGTTCGTACGTCTGAGGCGTGCGCAAATGGCACGAGTAGATCGAGTCATGACCTTCTCTCAACGCAGCCGTCCACTGCGCCGTAGGTAGCACCACTCTCTTACTGCCGTCACTTTGGACAATGTGGACGACTTCGTCCTCGACCACAATAGCCGTGTCACGGGATTTGCCCTTCCGCCTGAGGTTCTTCACCGTGCGATCCTTCGCCTGCTCGTCACGAATGACACGGTTAATCAGCTGCTCGTCGCTGGCTGCCCCGTCGGCTATCGCTGACTCGTTGCTCCGATGCTCCTACCGCTGCTCCTACCGGCGCCCTCGACAACGCGTCAGCCACGACGTTGCTCGAGCCCGGCCTGTAGATAATCTCGAATTCGTATTCTTGAAGTTGTAGAGCCCAGCGGTGCAGCCGCCCGGTCCACTCCTTCGACGTCATCAACCACTTTAGCGCCGCGTGATCCGTCACGAGCTCAAACTTGCGTCCGTACAGGTAAGGTCTAAACAGTTTGACTGCCCAAACCACCGCTGCACATTCTAATTCTGTGATTTTGTACGCTGCCACTATCTCCGAATTAATCTTAGAAGCGTAAGCGATCGATTGCTCGCCCTGCCCCTGATATTGGGTCAGCGCGGCCCCGAGGCCCACCTTCGACGCATCCGTGACGAACCGGAAGGTCTTCGCAAAGTCCGGGTAGGCCAACAGAGGCCTCTGCGTCAACTCCATCTTCAGCCGCTCAAATGCCTCTTGCTGTGGCTCTGCCCATCGCCATACAACCACCTTCCGTAGCAATAGTGTCATAGGCGCTGCCTTACTCGCGAAATCCGGCACAAAGCGCCGATAGTAGCCCGCCATGTGTACAAATCTCTTGACTGCAGCAGCATCTGTCGGTGTTGGAAACCGTACGACGCTGTCCACCAAACTCGCCATCGGCCTCACTCCGTCACCGTCAAGTTCATGTCCTAGGTAGTTCAGACGTGTCGACGCGAAGGCACACTTGCTTGCCATCAGCGACAGACCCGCGCTCGACAATCTTTCCAGCACAGACGCCAAGTGCACGACGTACTGTGCCACATCTCCCTTAGAGAAGACAATAACATCATCTAAATAGACCAAACAGCTTTGCCATGTTAGTCCCCGTAACACTGCGTCCATCATCCTGACACGATGGGATTGGAGATTTTCGCGGATTCCCCCAGCTGCGCCTGTGATTGGTTGGCTCAGAGGCTCACTACGGGAGAGGGAGGCAGCGACACGTGGCGTATGGGAAAAGCGGATCCCGGCCGGACTCGCGTTGGCAGTGTACAAGGTTTGGTGACCCTGGATGGAGATGTCCCCAAGAGCGGACCCCGGCTGGAACCAAGTACCGAACGAGAGGCAAAGCCCAAGGGAGCGTAGAAGTGCCTCCGACTGGAGGCCGCCTGCTCTTGGTGCACTGTACAACGCAAGAGGAGCCCGACCGGATCTAGTGAAGACCCAGAAACTGTGAAGCTGTCCAAGACATCCCGGATGTGAAGCCCAAGTGGAGTGTGATCCCGTTTGGAGATAATCATGAATCCCGAATGGAGATACCAAGATACCATCCCAGATGTGAAGATCCAGTATACAAAGTCCAAGATGTTTCCGACCGACCAAGCCGACCAGCCAAGATCTGTTCGGATTCCGTGGAACATTGAACTTCGCTTGCGTACCAAGTGATGATTATACTTGCTGGAAGTATGTTACGAGGGACCGCGGACGATTACGACGACAAGACCATAGCGAAGACAAGTCAAGATAGAGTGCATGTAAAGATCAACAGAAGATAGCCAGACAGACAGAGAGAGAGACCACAGATAACATATAAACAGAGTTCGTTTTGCCAAGGATCGCGCAAGTGAGTTGGAGCAGCCTACCGGGCGTGCATTCCCGGAGGACCGACTAAGTCTACGTGTGAGGGCCCACATCAGGGTCGAGCTCCCGCAACAAAGTCCAGTCCAAGTTGGGGTGAGTACCAGGCGACAACCCGAGGTTGATCCATCCCATTTCATTTCCTGTTTGCGGTTGAGCTCGTCCAGACCAGGAAGGCCCCGCATTTCATATTACCGATTACTTTGTCGCCCCGGTTGGAGTAGCCCCGGGTGGTAAGTACGGATTTAAGAGCTATCGTGTGATAGGAGGTATTCGATTGTGTTAGTTTCCCTCAGTACTTGAGGGTGGTGCGCGTGAGCCAAAACCGACCGGGATTGACCAGTATCCCGGAGTCCGGCTGGAGTTGACTGGAGTAGTGACCGACCCTTTCACGGTTCAAAAGAATAAGGAAGGGCTACGTGTTTGTATATAACTCTGTATCTGTTTGTATTGTTTGGTTGTCTAAAGGCTGTCAGAGGCGACGTCCAGGAAGGTTACGTTCTGCCCTGCTACCTAGCGACCTACAAGTATCAAGACAACTCATCCACGGTCGAAGACCCCTGGTTACGAAGACAAACGAACCCACAGGGATGGTTCACAAGGACACACGCCACCCCGGTTGGAGTGTACATCTAGGTGTACTATCTCCGGCTAGGGTTTGTTCTGGGTGCACCCCATTCGGGAGTCTACACCCGGGACGCTCTAAAGCTATACACCTGGGCGGTCAGGCGTTCACCCGCCTCGCCTCAGCTAGTGCGCGTACCCGGATTCGAACCAGGGATTTCACCGGAGTCGTTTATATTTTGTAAGTTTATAGGTGTGAGGTGTGCTAACTTTCCTAACTAGCGTCTATGACAGCTAAGCGAGGAGACATGCGCGAAGGAGGGCGCGGAGGACGAGGACGCGGAGAGGTGTCGCGTCAGTCGCGTCGTGCGGCGGGGCTGCCGCCCGAGGAGCAACCGAGCCTGGAAGAGGTTCAACGCAATGCTCGGAGGGTTAACGCTGAAAAGCGCAAGGCGGCCCTGGCCGGAGATGGGTCTTCGAACCAAGTCCAGCCGGCACCCGAGCCAGCCGTCCCAGATGACGCGCACCAAGTGTCGAAGGACGGCGAGCCCGAACGTGCTGACGCGGGCGAGGAGTCGAAGACCGCAGAGGGGGATCCCGGCCAGGGTGAACCCAACCAGGCGTCTGAGGGAGGCGCCGACGTGGATGAGCCCCAGGCGGAGGGTCGAGTTTCGGACTCCTCTCTGCCTGGCCAAGATGCGCAGCCGGACGCGCAAGTGTCCGCCGAACCCAAGCCGACGCCGTCTGCCGACGAGGAGAAGCCGGCCGCAGTCCCTGCGAAGACGGCGACCCCGGCCGCTGATGCCCAACCGGAGACCCAACTCTCGGTGAAGACCAGCCGGGGTAACCCGCCGACGGAGTTGCCAGCCGAGCACCTAAGTGTCCAAGCGGCGAAGACGTACGCGGCGTTGCAGGCGTCCCGGTGGGAGAGAGCCCGGTCTGGGTTCACGCTTCCTCCGAACGTGGAGTACGCCTGACCGGTGTCCCGTCCGGACTCCGTGCTGTGGCTGACCGCGACGCTTGCGACGTCCAAGTACCTGGCGTCCAAGGTGGCCTCGCAGGACCCGACCGAAGTTTGGTTGGCCGACCTGGCACCCAGCCGTCGGGACCTGTCGACTGCCCAAGACCTGGCCGGAGTCCAGATCCCGACTGGGTTGCTGGACTCGCGGGAGTGCGTTGCGGTCCTGCAGACGCTCCTGTTCGAGGCCGGGTTCCAGTTCGTCAACGTGGTGCCGGCCTGGGTGGAGATGCGAGTGTCCAAGGTGGAGCCGATGTCTATCCGGACCCTGGTCGGAGACGTCCAGCGATTGCTTGCAGTCGAGCTCATCGAGCGGCGCGAGCAGGTCATCGGAGCGATGTTCAAGATCCTGCCAGCGTTGGAGGCCCAAGCGAAGACAGAGAAGCCGCCGATCATGGATTACCACGCGGAAGACGCGGATGGAGATCTATTGATGAACGACTACGAACTCTTGCTGGGCCGGACCTACGTCCTATGACTGGTCTTCGTCCCATCCGGCGTCCGAGCGGGTCGTCCACCGGTGAGCCTGCGCCCAAGCGTCCGTAGCATGCGCCGCCGAGGGCCGAGAGCTCGCTTGCGTCCCCGCCGTCCCAGTTCGAGTCGCTGCCGTGCGAGTTCCCGTCGGCTGAGGAGTCCGCCCGGGATGCCCCGGCCAGAAGTGCAACTTCGGACCTTGTCCCGAGCATAGTTGGCACCTCCGACCGGGCTTCCTATGGCGCGACGTCCAAGTCGTACGTGTCAAGGAACACCACCTCGGACTCGTCGACCTCGAAACTCGGGTACAGCGCTGCGTCGCACATGCCGATGCCCCAGTTGGGATCCTTGGCGATGTCCGCCCGGGGTCCGGTTGGCGTGTCGGTCGGCGCTAGAGACGTGGGCTTCTACGTGACGCGCGAGGTGGTCTCCAAACGAGAGCCGACCCCCGATCAGGCTGATGCCAACTTGGCACGCTTGGACGAGGTGGCCAGCCGGGCGACATCCCCAACGCGCACGGCGACGAGGTCCCGGACGCACCGACGCTCATGGCGTGACACGCTCTCGAGTGGCTCGGAATCGGATGGAGATGCTCGGCGTCGCCGCCGACGTTCCATCCGGAGGTCATCACTAGACTGATCCCCATCCAGGCGCTCGAGTCGATCCAGGCGCTCGTACCGGTCCACCCGGTCCGAACGGACAAGCCTGTCGGCCCAGTCTGGGATGGCGGAGATGGCGGTGTCGACCTTCCACCAGGTCCAGCAGCTTGGTGCCGAACTGTCGAAGCTTCGCGAAGCTGTGTCGACCGGGAAGGATCCCAGCCGGGATGCCGAAGCCGAGCTTGCTCTGACCGAAGCCCAACGGGAGGCGCGCGAAGCCGAGCGCCGGGCCCAGGAGCTTGAGCTTGAGCGACACCTGCATGAGGTCTATGCCCAGGCGTCCCAGGCCGCCTCACATTCCCTGACGGCCGAGGCCAACGTCGAAGCTGCTCGTCTTGAAGCTGCGCGGACCGAGCGTGAGCGTGTGGAGGCAGCCGCCGCGGAGTACATCCGCCGACAGCTAGCTGAAGCCGACGCGAGACACGCCGCCGAGATGGCCGTCCGGGCCGGGCAGGCCCAGCAGGACCTGGCCGGCGTTGGCAGCCAGGGTGCAGGCGTCGGAAGTCGCGCGTGCGCAGGAACGTGAGTCTGCTCAGAATATCCAGCGTTTCCATGTGGGACAGATACGCGACCTTCAAGCAACATCTGCCCAAGCTCAACCTGAACGGGGAACATCCGACCCTAATCGGGCAACTCCCATACAAACGGAAAGTGATAACCCTGAACGGGCAACGGGCATAATCACGGGAAACGCAACGGTCGCGAGTGCACAGCCGGGACAGAAGATCACGACCGAAGCCGGCTGGGAGCAGCTACTGGCAACACTGCCGGAACTCGACGTCGCGCGTCTAGCAAGGACTCTGAAGCCGACCGTGGTGAAGAATGAGCCGGCCGCAGTTAATGCGGCACACCGATCTACTACGGCGACGCAGGTTGCCCCGACGGGGACCTCCCGTCCGGGGACCAAGACGACGGTGAAGAAGGAGCCAACGGAGCCAAAGAAGGATCCGCCCAGGAAGAACGAACGCAGGAAGGACGAGCGCACGAAGGACAATCGCAAGAAGGCGCCACGCAAGGGACGTCGCCGGGATCGCGACTCGTCCCCGGATTCAAGCTCCAGTTCCTCGAGCTCGGATGATGATAGCTCCAGCTCGGACGACAGCCTGGACGACGAGGACGCTACACCGACCGTGGAGTCAACTACGGTTGGGGATGGCAAGACCTCCTGGACGTTCCGCCCGTATGTCAATTCCAGCACGCTGGGTCAGTTCGACGAGAAAGCCCCGCTTGGAGATCGACGTACCTGGTGGGAAAAGTTCACCAACATCTCCGTCCAGGGTGGTTGGTCCGACCAGACCAAGGTTCGAGAGCTCAAGATGAAGCTGTAACCTGCCGCCCAGAATTGGCGCGGCCAACTGGAGAAGCACGTTCAGAGCAATTGGAAACGCTTCGTCCAGGAGTTCCGTCGCAAGTACCTGAAGCTCCGGACGTCGGAGTCTGAACGGTATTATACTATGCGACAGAAGACGTCTGAGACCCCGATGGAGTTCTTCAACAGGCTGAACGAGGCTGCGGCCAAGGCGGGGATCAAGTACCGGAAGTACAAGAAGGAGCGCAAGCAACATGCCAAGCGTTTCCTGAAGAATCTCCGGGACTCCCAGCTGAAGGCCATCCTGGCTAACCAGAAGATCCGCAGCCTGAACGACCTCGAAGACATCCTGGAGCAACAAGAGGACCTGAACCTGGATGGGGGCTATGATACGCCACCGCCCAGGCGGGACTTCCGAGCGGGCAACATCCAGGATTCCCGTTTCAAGCCGAGGCGCCGCGCGTTTGTGGCAACTTCGGGCGGGGAGTCCGGCTACGAATCTGAAGGTCGTGTACGTTTCGAGGATGAAGTCGAGGAAGCCAAGCTGTCCCACGCGGAGTCGAAGGAGCCCAGCCGGAGTGCCCCGGCTGAGGTGGCGCCAAGTGCACCAACCGTTGCTCAGATCCCGGAGCCCGAACTCCGTCAGGCTATCTTCAAGGCGATCGAGCAGAGTGGGTGGCGCCCGCCTACGCAGGGCGACTCCCGTCCAGGGTGGCAGTCGCCCCGGCCGGGATGGCAACCACCTCGGCCCGGATGGCAGTCGCCCCGACGGGAAAACCCTGACCGGAACGAGGTTTGCGAGAAGTGCCTCAAGTTTGGCCACAAAGAGCAGAACTGCTGGGCGTAGATCGTTTGCGACCGGTGCAACTGGAAGGGTCATCCGGGATACGCGTGTCGAGTGAAGCCGTGCTAACGCTGTGGCAAGATTCATGAAGGAACCTGTGGAGATTACGAAGCCTTGGAAGCCGTGAAGAAACTCGCTCGGAAAGGGATGTTGCAAGACCTGCCTCCACCCCTGCGCAAGCAACTGCTGGGTGAAGAGGCCACTCCGGGGTCGCCGTTAAACTAGTAAGCACGCTGGATGGGGATCCAGAACGCGCCGGGCTGGCGAAACCCAAAGGATTGTGTGTCTTAGTTAATGTCGGACCCGAGTTGAGAAGGAGAAAACCGGATAACCACCAATGCATGTCAGCTATATTTCAGGACCAGTTTGACGACCCCAACTGTACGAATCCTGGACGGGAAAACCCGGATGGCGATGATCAAGTCGAAGTCATCCTACAGCCCGGACAGAGGGTGGGAGGATCACGAGCCTGAAGAGAGTCATGAAGTGGCGACAGTGCATGGGGCGGTGAACGATCTCCGAACAAGGATACTCTTGGACACTGGTGCATCTGGAAGCATGATTAGCTTGGACCTTGCGCGTAGGCTCAAGCTGAAATTCCGGATGTTGCCGGAGCCGATCAGGGTGTCCGGATTAGGAGGTGCTCCCACGAACATTACGTCGTATGCCCGGGTGAAGATCACTCTGGGATTCCGCGTGGTGTATGTGATGAGTGTCTGGTTGGCGAGTATCGGCGAAGGATTGGAAGTACTTCTGGGGATGAACTTCATGTATGCGGCTCGAGTGTGGTTGAGCGTGCGAGAAGGACTAGTGCAGCTCCCGGACGAAGAAACTGTTGTGATGTGTGATGGTCCGCGCCGCGACAAAATGGGCTTGGATCTCCCGGTAACCCCGGATGAGGGGATCTATCTCCGTCCGGGGGAACATGCGATCGTGAAGGTTAGGTACGGCCAGACCAAACCCCAACGGGATGTTGTGTGGGCCGGCCGGGGTGATCGTTGGGTCACCAAGATCCTGTATGCTACCAAGTCGTGGGCGTCTTCGGTGAAGGTGGTGAACATCTCCAAGCAGAGAGTGTGGATTGACAACCGGACTCCTGTGGCCCGGATCGTCGAGTTTGGGCACTTTCCCCGATTTGGGAGATTTGTCCGGCCAGGAAGCAAACGGTATCAGGAGTGACAGCAGCTGATCTACGAGAACATTGTGTCTCCGGAAGCAGAGGCACGTTAGCAAGAGCAGCTCGAGCTCGAGTGGAGTCGGCAACCCCCAGCCGTGGAAAGGCCGCAGCGTGAATGGCCGACCAGGATTCTCCTACGGCCTGAGTCGGGGTCCCGGACGGACCGGCTGGTGATGCTCCAGCAGGGCAACGCTGAGTCCCAGGCGGGATCCGTCGAGGGAGTCTCGGATGGAGATGATAAAGAAGCGGAATCCGGTCGACGTCCGACTGTCGAGGACGCTCACAGCGATGTCGGCACTGCAGCTGAGTCTGATCCGAGTTCTGATGAGTGGAACCTGAGCGTCTCTGATTTGGCCGAGTCCGGCCTGGATGGTGACCGCTCGGAAAACATATCCGACCGGGAAGAACCTGACATACCCACTGCGTCGATGCCTAGTACCCCGCTGCGGAAGCTGGAGGAAGAGCACAATCGATGCATGCGAATCAATCAGGAGGAGCTCGACCTGGAAGCTGGAGTGTATGTGCACGAGGGGAGCGAGTTGTTGTCCCAGTTGCGTGACGAATTGGCCCTGCTTCCTGAGTTGAAGGACCTGAGCCCCGAGTGTGATATCGACAAGGCTGATGTTGGAGAGCCCGGACGGACTACCCCGGATGGGGAACAAAAGTTGCGCTCTATACTCAAGTATCACCGCAAGATCTCCCTTGGGGATGGCAATGCTGCGCCGGCCCCGGCCAGGGGCGTGGTGTGTGACCTGGATGTGGGTGACGCAAAACCCGTTGCTCAACGACCAAGGTCCATTGCCCCTCACTTGATGATGAAGGTGTACGAGCTCCTGAAGAAGCTGGTGGAAACGGGTCTGATCGAGATGTCGCTGTCGCCGTGGGCTTCCCCGATTGTAATCGTCCTCAAGAAGAATGGCGTGGACATCCGAATGTGCATCGACTACCGGGTGGTTAATGGATTCATCCGGCTTTCTAGCTACCCGTTGCCCCTGATCGATGATCTTCAGATTGGATTCGAAGCTGCTATGTGGTTCATGAGTCTGGACATGGCGAGCGGGTTCTGGGCGGTCCGGATGACGGAACGTGCGAAGCTAATCTCCGCGTTCATCTGCCCATTCGGACACTTCCAGTGGGTACGCATGTCATTTGGACTCAAGAATGCCCCACTTGTGTATCAGGCGGTGATCACCAACTGCCTTTGGGGTTTCGTGCGTCTCCCGCGGGAAGAAGAAGAGCAGGTGGACCCGGATGTACTCGAGTTCCTCGGTTTGGACCCGTCCGTCCGGGATGAATCCGAACGGGAGAAGGCTGGAGCTAGTGTTCCCGTCCTGGTGGAGCAGATGACTGTGTTCCAACGCAACATCCCGATGCCGTCCCAGCTGGGACCTGTCCTCGGACGGAGTTCCTACATCGATGACATTGCGCATGGGGCGCCCACCTGGGATCAGTTGCGTGAGGACCTGAATGCGCTGCTATTCCGGTTGCGCTATTGGAACATCTCTGTCAGCCTGCCCAAGAGTGAGTGCGGGAAGGTGAGTATCCCGTATCTCTCCCACGAGATCAGTGCCGAAGGACTGCACGCGACTCCGAAGATCGCGAAGGGCGTTCAGGATTTACCGTTCCCGTCTACCCTGAAGGGAGTTCAGTCATTCCTCGGAAGCCTCAACTACTATCACAAGTTCATTGAGGATTTCCCGGTTGTGGCTGCAGTACTGTACGAGCTTACGGATGATCAAGTGAAGTCCGGCCGGGATCTGTCAAGGGCGAAGGAGGCATTCGAGATCTTGAAACGGAAGATCGTGTCGACACCCCTGTTGCGACACCCCGACCGGACCAAGCCATTCGTGATTATCCCGCATAATAACCGCTGGGCCGCCTGCGCTGTCCTCGGCCAGGAGTGTGATGGAGTGATCCAGCCTGTGAGGTTCACGGGGCGCGTAATGAACGACGCGGAGATTCGATACCACATCACCGAGAAGGAGGCGGTTGCTGTCATGCGAGTTCTGGATGTGTTTAACACTCTCGTCCAGGGTTGCCCGATCAAGGTGTACACCAGGTACTCAGTACTGTCCTGGCTGTTGAAGTCCAAGACCGCCGACGGGCGACATGTCCGGTGGGGGTTAACACTATCCCATTGGGACTTGGAAGTGCAGAAGGTGAAGCGAGACGAAGACGGCCTGGCTGCAATCATGGGCGCTGGCATAACGCCGCGTGAGCACATGGACGAGGTTGCTGAGTCGCTCATCCCGGCCAAGGGTCAAGTGAAACCCCCACCGGTGATCAGTGTGGAGATGCTGGAGGCTAATTTCGCTGGATACGTCTTGAGTTTCGACGGAGCTGCGAAGACATCGACGAGGCGAGGAAGTTGTGGGTGTATCATCTGGGAGCTCCCCGGCTGGAAAGTCCTGGCCGCGCGGGGTTTCATCCTGGATGATGTTACGGTGAACGACGCTGAGTACCTCGGCCTCCTGATGGGTTGAAGATGATCCACGACCGGGGTATCCCGGATGTGGTTGTTGTCGGAGACTCTCGGATCGTCATCCAACAGGCTCAAGGACTGATTAACTGCAACCTGCCAAACCTGCAGCGACGTCTGGCCGAGTACGAGGAGATGAAACGGAACTTCGCCTCGATCCGGCTGGTACATGTCAAGCGAGAGTACAACCAGGCTGCAGATTACTTGACGTCCAAGACACTGGTGCTCGGAGAGTCCTGTGCGATAAATGACCCGGACGAGATGGAACATCTGGGGCGAGTCTCTCGTATCCACGAACAGATCATGAAGCCTGAAGTGGCCCCGAGCGACGATCCCCCCGACGAGCCCAGTCGGGAATCTACGACTGGAGTGCCGGATGATGCTGGTCCCGGGCCGGAGTCAGCTCCCCTGCCAATGGCAGCCAGGGTCATGGCCGCATTAACTCGTAGCCAGAGCCGCGAGGACTCCAACCGGGGTGAGCCTATGAACCCACTTGAGTATCAAGCGGAGAGGTGGCGCCGGATCAAGGTGCACCAGGACGCTGACCCCGAGTTGGTCAATCTGAAGAAGTTCCTTAAGGGCGACCTGGATGACTTTTCCCGGCTGGAGATCCGCAAGCTGTCCAAGCGGGCAGACCTATTTGCGTTGGATGTTCGGGACGTACTGTATCGACTGGTCAGGTCCAATCGGGACCAACCTCGCGACAAGACCGACGAGTTGCGCCTAGTCGTACCGGAAGCGCTCCGTCTGGACATGTTGCATTACGCCCATGAGGATTTCCAAGGTGGCCATGAGGGAATAACCCGGACGCACGAGAAACTCCGACTGGAGTTCTACAGGCCGGGGATGTACGCAGATGTTGAAAGATACGTCAAGGAGTGCGCCGACTGCGCCAGTGGCAAAGGGCGCCCGCCGAATCCAGGACCTTCGCCCGGGAACATCGAGCCCGGAGAGCCTTTCGAAGTGGTCTCGATGGACTTCGTGACCCATTTGCCGAAGTCCGAACGGGGTAACACGTTCTGCTCCTGTTCCAGGATGCGTTTTCGGGTTTCGTTATGTGCAAACCGATGAGTTCTACCACCGCTCAGGATGTCGCTGAAGCGTATGAGGAGAGGGTGTTCCGCTGCTTCGGAGCCAGCTCCCTACTGCGTCACGATCAGGATCCCAGGTTCATGAGTGAAGTCTTCACTCGGTTCAGGGAACTTCTGGGTAGCCGACAGCGAGCTACGTTGGCATACCGACCCCAGGCGAATGGACAGCAGGAACGTTCCGTCCAGACTGTGGTGAGGTCCATCCGGGCTTACATCGCAGAAGCTTACCAGAGCGACTGGGATGACCACGCAGAGAGACTCATGTTCGCGCTCAATACGTCGTTTGATGCAACCCGGCTGGACACCCCAGTCTACCTGGTCCACGGTTGGGACGCCAAGAGTACGATCTCAGCTATGCTGGGGCCTAAACCCTCCAGTGTCCCTGAACGGACCGCGTATGAGTGGCGAAGGAAACTCCAGCGGGACTACGGCTACGCTCGGGCATGTGCAGAAGACCTCCAGAGGAAGGCCAAACGGGCTCGCTCGGAAGAGCAAACCCGGAAGTGGAACGAGTTGTCAGACCGGCTCAAGGCAGGCTTCAACGTTGGGGATGCAGTCTGGCTGTACATCCCAAAAGTGCAACCGGGTCTGAGTCGCAAGTTGGCCCACTTGTGGCATGGTCCATTCAGGATCGCCGAAGTGGTTGACGAGTTCCGGGTGAGGCACAAGGTTGAGGACACGGGTTACCGTGTAAACCCTTGGGTTCACATCAGTCGACTGAAATCCCGGGCGTTGTATCCCAAACGGCCTATAATCCAACCGGAGATCGAAGACAACGATGACTTTGACACCGCACTTCTTCCCGAAGACAGCTGGGAAGCGGACAACGAGAATGACGAGTACGAAGTGGAGAAGATCATGGATCTCAGGTGGAACAAGCGTACGCGGACGGCCAAACGGACACGAGAGTATCTCATCAAATGGAAGGGGTACGATGAGCCTGAATGGATACCGATGGCACAGCTGAATTGAGGAGCGCTCTTGTATGAGTTCAATCAAGGGGCGAAAGCCCGAGCGCGGTTCCAAGCCATACAGGCTGGGGACGACCACCCTAACATACAATAGTTGGGAGTGGTCAAGTCCGAATGAAGCGACCCCAGTTGGGAGTATTGATCCCAGTTGGAGATTCCCAGACGGAGACCCGAAATGCCTGGATGTGAATGTGTGAATTACGGAAAATTGATTGTGAATTTGTATGGAGCGAATCAACGATGGAGTTGTGATTATGGAGAGTAACCCGAGCGAGAATGGAGTTCTTGACGACGAGTGTATGAAGTTGACTATGTCGCCCTGAAGGAGGTGCCAAAGCGGCAAGAGATGAACAAGGCTGCGCTCAAGGTTGAACCGACCTGGATAACCTGACCGAAGAAGGAAACGATGAAGACAGCGAAGACGTTAACGGTGATTGTGGAATTAAAGTGTTACGCTACGGATATGCAGCTACATCCAAGACCGCTGTGGATGCTGGATGGGAGGATGACTTCACTGGAACTTGGTCGAGACCCAGTTGTTGACGCGCTCGTGCTCTGGAAGCAGCATCTTGTCGACGATCTTGGCTGGGACGTGCGCCAGACGCTCGTCATCCGTACAGGTAGTCCACTGAGTCCGGCCGGGGTCTTCGAGTTCGGCCATCGCGATCTGGTCAGCCAGGGTGTAACGCGTGCCATCGTCCTTCTTGGTTGATTCGTCGACCAAGTACAGGTAGCAGATCTTGCACGGGTACAACCAGAATCCAGGCTCCCAGACCATCGTTTTCGGCATGCCGGCCTTGATCAGACGCTTGATGCGGGCCTCGAAGGTGCGCGCAACCCCGTCGTGGAGCGCCTGGCGCTTGCGGTGGAGATCTTGAGCCCGTTCGTAGATCGTGAGGTCGTCGCACTTCTCGTCGTCTTCAGGCTTGGTCATCATCATGAACCAGTGCAGGATGTGCCAGAAGGCTGGAAGGTGATCCTTCATGTACTCCACATGTTGGTCCAGGATGCGGATCACAGCTGGGGATAGTTGGTCCCGGCGGTGGAAGTACATGACCTTGACCCGGTTGTTAAACATCTCCAGGCAGGGTTCCTTCTCGACCAGGGCCGCATACTCATCTTCGACTGGAGGCCAACGCCTGGCCAGGTACTTGGTATCAGGCTGCTGAGGTGCGTAGTTAGGAAACCCAGGCGTCTGGCCCTCGATGCCACCTTTCTTCGGAGAGAAACGAGTGCCGACACCACGACGACGCCACGAGACAATGTCCCCAGATGGGGTCTCGATGATCGCCAATTCCCTGCTGTTCAGGTCCTCGTAAGACTTCTGTGCCAGGGGCGACTTGCCACCCTCCCGTGTGGGTTTCGACGTCCGGCTGCGTTTTTTGGGGTTCTTCTTGGACGAAGGTCGATCAGGTTTATCCTGCAGCGCGAACTTCGACCGGGGTTCCTTCTGGGACGACAACCGAGGAGACCGACGCTGGGATGAGGAAGACGACTGGAGCTCGTCCTCAGAGGAGTTGTCCGAAGATGCCTGAACGCGGTTCCGCTTGGGGTTGCGCTTGGGCTTGGACGGCTGCTCCTCATCGGTGTCGCTGTCCGACGAGCTGCTCTCGTCAATGGACTCCGCCTTGGATGGCCCATCCGCGCTCTTCCCAGATGGAGATGTTTTGGCCTTGTCCTCGTAGTCGGAGTCACGAGAGTCGTCACTTTCACTGGAGCCGTCAACTTCGACGATCTCCATCTCGGCAGCAGCCTCCTCGGCCAAGTTGCGCAGTGGCGGAAACTCCTCCGGATACAAACCCGACCGGAGACGTCCCTGGAGCATGACCTCAGCCATCTTGTAGAAGGTCTCGGGGGCATGACGCGTCCAGAGGGTGTCGTCCAGGGTGCCATGGTACACCATCTTGACCAGCATTGCCAGCAGCCAAGGCTTTGGGAAATACTGGTGGGCCGGACAATCCTGACGGAGGATGTCCAAGGCCTCTTCGTACCCATGGTCCATCCGCATGACGAACTGGACATCCAGCCGGACATCCGACCAAGGGAAAAACTCCGGCAGGGATGCAGCACAGTCGGAAATCAGGCGCTTGAAGTCCGTCTGGGGCGACAGAGGGAGCAAATCAGATCCCGGGTGGACCGTGGGTCGCATTTGGACGTACACCGGCCCACGCTTGCTGGAAAGCTCGGCCATACCGCGTGGACATGACCCCGAACGGGACCCCTTGGACGTACGCCGCCTGGGCTTGGACGGAGACCCATCTGCAGGTGGGAAATCCGAACGGAGAGGAGTGGGCGGATTGTCCTCCGACTTCTCTTCACGATCACCATCCTGGTCGCCGTTGCCGCTGCCCGCCTGGTAGTTATCATCGTCGTCCTCGACGTCCGGGTCGACTGGGCCCGGATAGGGCGGGATCATCCTGAACGGACGGTCAGCGGCCTCGACGGTGATGTTGGTGACCCAGTGCGCGGGAGGCGTGGACCCCCGTTGGAAGTGACGAAGCAGACGCACCAGCCTACGCCACCGACCGCGAGTGGCAGCCCCGCCTTGGTTCAGGAACTGCATCAGCCGGTCGGTGTTGAAAGCATCCTCCTGGCTGGTAACACGCAGACGGTGGACGGCCAGAATCGCGCGCTCGAGCTTGGCCTCAGCCTCAGTGACCTTGTTGCGCAGCATGTTTTTCCTTATACAGATGGCTTTGCACCGCCAAGGCGAAGTCTTTCTCCAGCTGGGCTTGGAGCTCCACCTTTTCCGCCCGGAGTGCAGCCACCTCACGCTGGTGATACATCTGCAGGAACCGGTGCTCGTCGACAAGCCTGTCGTAACGCTGTTGCAGGGTGGCGCCCCCGCCGGGAGATACCTCAACCGGCCCTTGAATGGGGATGTCGCCACGCCGTGCCCGGTCGAGGATGCGATGAAGCAGAGACGTCGTGAAGAACAACTTTTCCGCGAAGCGCCCGACTGGGAACTGGGCCAGCACAGAGGCGGACTCCCGGCGCTACAGCAACGAGTTCAAAGTGGTCGAGCTGCGGCAGCCTGGGAGACTCCCGGTTGGCATGCGGGCGCAGCAAGTTATTGCGCAGCTCCGTCTGGCTGCCAACCAGGTTACCCAAGTCGTGGAGGTCCTGGGCGGAGAAGCCGTCGAAGATTGCTAACGCCTCCGTGCCGCCATACCCCTCCTGGATGTAGCGCTCCGACTGATATGCCAATGAACGCGACCAGGTAGGAGTTGCCGTCACCAGGCCGCTTGGGCGGGAGAACGTGGCGTGAAGGCAGGATGTTGACAACTTCTTGAGATCCCGGATGGGTTGACGAGAGGATGCCAAACGCCTTGAAGTCGATCACCTCATCGAACGACAGCAGGCTGGCCACCGCAGCCGTGACGCTTGGCGTGCGCTCGTGCAGAGGATCCCGGATGGGGGCTTCTTCCATGGCCTCGTCCTCTCGGACGGGCCGGTCGTTGGTGTGCAGAGGCGAGATCTTCGCAGAAGACGCCGCGCTCTCCTCCTCCTCTTCTTCCTCCTCGTCCATGTCGTTGCTGTTGCCTGTGCCCTCCTGCTCGTCGACCTTGCGCGCAGGGCTGCCGGCCTTGACCGGCACATGGGCCTCGCCGCTAGCAGCCAGACTGCCGCCGCCGTTGCCCGCGCCCGCCTCCGCACCCCTCACCGGAGGAGCAGAAGGCGGGAGTTGCGCTGGGATAAGCGGCGCGTCGGCGCTCGATGCGGGGGCGTCCATGGTGTGAGTGGTGGCGCGCAGATTTCGTTGTGAGCGGAGATATCGTTGCCGCAGACTGGAAAGAGAAATTGATGAAAAGCGACCCGGTTGGGACAGGGCGCAAAGAAGAGACGCCACAGTTGGGAGTTGACTGAAGACATCCCCATCTGGGCTTGCTCGGATCGTGAGATCTTGTCATGATCGATCGATTCGCCGAATGAACTCTACAATGGATCGTAACAAGAGGGGCGGTTGACCCGATGGGATTGGAGATTTTCGAGGGTTCCCCCAGCTGCGCCTGTGATTGGTTGGCTCAGAGGCTCACTACGGGAGAGGGAGGCAGCGACACGTGGCGTATGGGAAAAGCGGATCCCGGCCGGACTCGCGTTGGCAGTGTACAAGGTTTGGTGACCCTGGATGGAGATGTCCCCAAGAGCGGACCCCGGCTGGAACCAAGTACCGAACGAGAGGCAAAGCCCAAGGGAGCGTAGAAGTGCCTCCGACTGGAGGCCGCCTGCTCTTGGTGCACTGTACAACGCAAGAGGAGCCCGACCGGATCTAGTGAAGACCCAGAAACCGTGAAGCTGTCCAAGACATCCCGGATGTGAAGCCCAAGTGGAGTGTGATCCCGTTTGGAGATAATCATGAATCCCGAATGGAGATACCAAGATACCATCCCAGATGTGAAGATGCAGTATACAAAGTCCAAGATGTTTCCGACCGACCAAGCCGACCAGCCAAGATCTGTTCGGATTCCGTGGAACATTGAACTTCGCTTGCGTACCCAGTGATGATTATACTTGCTGGAAGTATGTTACGAGGGACCGCGGACGATTACGACGACAAGACCATAGCGAAGACAAGTCAAGATAGAGTGCATGTAAAGATCAACAGAAGATAGCCAGACAGACAGAGAGAGAGACCACAGATAACATATAAACAGAGTTCGTTTTGCCAAGGATCGCGCAAGTGAGTTGGAGCAGCCTACCGGGCGTGCATTCCCGGAGGACCGACTAAGTCTACGTGTGAGGGCCCAGCAACTGTGACATCAGGGTCGAGCTCCCGCAACAAAGTCCAGTCCAAGTTGGGGTGAGTACCGGGCGACAACCCGAGGTTGATCCATCCCATTTCATTTCCTGTTTGCGGTTGAGCTCGTCCAGACCAGGAAGGCCCCGCATTTCATATTACCGATTACTTTGTCGCCCCGGTTGGAGTAGCCCCGGGTGGTAAGTACGGATTTAAGAGCTATCGTGTGATAGGAGGTATTCGATTGTGTTAGTTTCCCTCAGTACTTGAGGGTGATGCCGTCTCTCGAGAACGCGTTCCAGTAAGTTGATGGAGCTCGGTACCCTGTTCAACTCGACCGGAATCGTCAATAATCGCGGCTACATCTACGTAGACGACATCGACATCGTTAAGATCGTCAGGGTTGGCTAGCTTGCTACAATCCCCAACTTCCCGTGTGCTATGTTGTAAATCAGTTTCTTCTTACTATGTAATAGCGGTGCAATTTCTGGACAGATGCTGCGGTTGCGAAGCAGGCTCAGGAGATGCCCTTGGGTCGTACGGGTCACACTACCGAAGTATAACCAAATGATTTTGTGTACCTTCCTATTCAGTATCAAACGGTCTTAATTCGTGCACTTGATCGGTCGGCTGGAAGTACAGGTTCCATCTTACAGTAATGTGCGTCAATAAGGGACCTCTGATATGAATAGGAGTGTAAAGGCTATTCAGGCGAACAAGTGGAAAAAGAAAGAACAATGTATTGATTTAGTTAAGAATAAATGACACACTGCTTTTACTAATGAGCGTGGAGTGCAACTAGCACTTCTGAATCGTAGAAGCTGACACATTATCCCACGCAGACTCGCACCACTTCATGGCAGTTAGTAAGTCGACTGTATGTCTAGGGATGCCCAACGTCTTGGCTAGCACCGTAGCATAGAAGACGATCATTGCACCGCTGAGCCTCAGCGGTGCAATGATCAGGGCGGAGCCAGGGACAAAAATGGGGGGGGCATGCGCCCCCCCCATTTTTCGGCGAAGGCGTTTCGATTTTTTTAGATTTTTTTTATTTAGACGGCACATGCATGAAGTTCACACTGTTCCTCCGCTTAGTTGATAATAACATGGAAGGAAAGAGGAAACAACCGGCAATCACGACCTTCTTTGTGAAGAAGCCCCGTCAAGAGCCCGAAGACTTTGACAAGGCCCGCAGTATTGAATCAGATCCTGGGCCACGACCCCAACCTGTAACGCTGCGCGAAAAACAAGAGCAAGCAGCGTTGGAATGGTGTTCGCTCAACAAAATTCCTGATAGAGCCGGAGAATGTTCCGCTGGAGACTTTGTTAGGCGGGATCCTGCTCACAGACCACCAAATATATTTTTCGTTAAGCAGCTGATTGCCGATCCTCAGCTACTGCGTGACGTTATACAATCCTACGTTCGCCTCGGTCCTTACCAACCGCAACTCAAGCAATATCCGGCCCGGGACATCGGTGGATGCATGCGTGCATTTCGGGCCCAGTGGTTTGAAAAAAAAATTCATGGCTCGATTACTCTCCTTCCACGGACGCGGTGTATTGCTTATGCTGCAACCTCAACCGAGAAGTAATGACGCAGCAAAGCGTGCTCACAGTGTATGCACAACCTACAACGGGCTATTGAAACGGGAAAAAGGCCACTACAACAGACGGATTTGCAAAACATGTTGGGACAAAAACCTGCTCGAAACACCACTCAGCTCTGATCGGTTTCGACAATCGGAGATCCTGTCAGAATGACGTTGGTGTGGCTCTGAATTCTCAAAAGATTGGTGAACGACAACAAAACCGGGAGCGCCTGACTTTTATTCTGGAGATCTGCCTTCTCCTAGCAAAACAGGAAATTGCATTTCGGGGCAGCGACGAAAAGGTATACGAGCGGTTTAATTTTTATGTAAGAAATGACATCACTGGACTAACGTTTTTTTACAATGCACAGGATACGTCACAAAATAAAGTCAATTTTCTTGAGATTGTTCAGTTCATGGCACAGCACGCGCCATCGTTTTCTCGCGTAATGTCCTTAGCTGGGGAAAACGCTGTGTACACATCGCCACAAATTCAACGTGAACTGATCAAATGTGCGGCAGATTTTGTTCGAAAGCATATTATGGAGGTCGAGATTGCAGATGGATATTTTTCTGTTCTGGTGGATGAAGCAAGCTGCGTGGCGAAGAAAGAGCACATGGCTATCGTAATTCGTTTTGTGTGCGCTGCAACGGGGACTATTAGAGAAAGATTTTTTGGAACTGTCCATGTTCGCGATACGAATGCGGAGACACTGTACGATGGTTTGATAACGCAGTTAGAGAAGTGGGGATTGCTTTTGGCGAACTGTAGAGGCCAGGGATATGATGGTGCGTCCAACATGTCGGGTGATATTACTGGTCTTCAGCGACGTCTACGCTCCCAGTGTCCTTACGCCTACTATGTTCACTGTTTCGCGCATCGACTTAATCTCGTCCTAGTTGCAGTGACTATGAACACGGTCTCGGTGGTGCAATGCGTCGAAACCGTGCAAGGGATTCACACTACTGTAAGTGATTCGTGTAAAAGGAAAGATCAACTTATTGACGAAGCCGCTGTGGAATTGGAAAAAATGCTTGATCAAGGACATCTAGAATCTGGTAGAGGTTTAAATCAACCAACTTCTACCGAGGGGCTTAGCAAAACAAGGTGGAATTGCCACATTCGCGCGTTAAGAAAAGTCAAGATGCTTTGGGCCCCAATTACAAGTGTGTTGGAGCGTGTAGTGGTCGATGGTGTGAGCCCCCACAAACGCGCTGAGGCGTCAGGAATTTTAGAGAAGATGTGGACTTTCGACTTCGTATTTCATATGGAGATTCTCACTCAAGTTTTGGGAAAAACAAATCGGCTGTCCCAAGTTTTGCAGAAAGATGACGTCGATATCGTGTCAGCTGTGAATATGACGAAGCAGGTATCCAAAGAACTAAAAGAATGCTCGATGATAGTTCTATGACTGGGAACTCGCCAAGTTTTGAATCGATTTGGAGCTCATCGGTCAACTTTTGCTAATCAATACAAGTTGACGACACCCCTCTCATTCCTGACAAAAATGACGTGTGGAAACGACGCGGAATGAGAAGTCGGGGGTGTGGCAGGGCTGGAATTCCAGGAGAGGACTCCTCCAGGGATGGTGTCCAGCCTACACAAGAAGCTCACTATCGTAACGAAGTATACAACTGTATCCTTCGTGACCTGATTTCTGAAATGGATTCACGATTTAGTGGAGAAGTTCTTAGTCTCATGGAATTGTGCGGATCGCTCAGCCCACGTGATAATTTCAAGAATTGGAGCGCTACTAAAATTGTTGAGCTGGCTAAAACATTTTATCACGATGATTGCACCGATGAGCTGGACGACCTTCGAGAAGAGGCCACTCGGTTTCGCAATTTGGCAAAGATCGCCAAAGGTTCCAAAAATTGAAGACAACGCAACAACTATGCATCCAACTCGTCAGAACCGATAACAACGAGCTGTTCCCGACCTTGCACCGAATTATTAACTTGGTGTGTGTGCTGCCTGTAACAACTGCTACTACGGAGAGGTCTTTCTCAGCCATGAAAAGAATTAAGACGCGGCTCAGAACAACAATGGGACATCTTTGGATGTCAAACCTGATGGTTTTGGCTATCCAGCGTGATCTTATAAACAGCATCGACAAAGACTCGTTCCTCGAAAAGTTTAAAGCGATGACAAAGAGAAGAATCGAAATGTAGGTTGTGGATTTTACTTTAAAAAAATCTATGCCCCCTCCCATTTTTTTAAGGCTGGCTCCGCCTCAGCGGCTGAGGCAAATGCCCTCCGCCTCTGCAAGCATGATGAACTCGACGATATTTTGATCGATCTGTAGCTGAACGGAGACGGCTTGTTCTTGAGCTGAGCACTTTCGTGAGGCTGGCGCAACAGCGCGATACGCCCCGAGATGATGCGGCCGATGGTGGCTTTCCCAGGGGGCCTTTGCAGACCGAACTCGACTTAGGTCCAAAGGGCCAGGTCTTCATACTTGGCAGCGGGGGAGCTCTCAGCCTTCTTGATCAGACGCAGCTTCTGCTGCTGGGTGAGGCGAGTTCTAGTCTTGGAGGAGGAGCTCATGAGGTGGGTGGATGGGTAGGGCGCTGGTGTTGTGGCAGATTCCGTTGTGCTTGGAGATCGCGCTGAGCGGGTTGGAGGGAAGGAGTTATCTTCGCGCCCGAATTCAAATGGTAGCTTCAATCACTGATTGGCTAGATCTGACCTCACTAGCCAATCACGTAGTCGCGCTCGTTGCGAAACCAGCCAATAGCGCCAGGATCCTGTCGAAAGTTAACTTAAATCATGTTAGCTGTGTTCTTGACTGACAGCTGTATATAATGTATGTAAGGATATTAGTTGCCACTCAGTTAGCGATCTCCTTACTGCATGATCACCATTAACGTTGGCCAGCGATTGAATTCATGTTGAGCAGGTTGTGTTTTAATATGGACGATGATATGGTGGATAAGAGAATCAGTAAGCGTTGGTTTGAGTGATATTTTAGTGTTTTTTCGGCTACTGTCAGGTACTTAGTAGTTAAATAAGCTATGTATGTGCAACGGCTTTCTGAAAAACAAAATACTGTCATTTACCTATCCTAGCCTACGTGAAACCCTAGTACCGCAGCAGTACGTCCGACAATCAACACCTCTAGCTCTGTGAATACTTGGTCGTTTCGCTTGTGGCTAAAAGGAGAGACTATGTTGTTCCTTCGTCCTATTTTTTCAAATTGCACTTAAAAATGTCAGAACTGAAGTACTTCTAAAATGCACTACCAGCCGAAATTTCTAGTGAATTCAAGAACGGCCACTATTCGTATAAATCCGTTAATTGGGGCATAGCCTCCCTTATAATGAAATAGACTTTTCACCCATTTTACAGGTACTTTTTACTCCAATTTATGAACCTCTGTATTACAATTAAGAATGGGGTAGGGCAAATGAACTATCATAGCCTGCCCGGGGGCGATTTCGATTGAATTTTACCTCTTTTTAAGAACACACGAACTCATGTTGAACGGCGCCCAAACGCGACCCTTCAAATGTTACCTTGTTCGAAGGTATAACAAGTTATTAAACTGAGGTCAACTTTTTATCGAACCGGATATCGCCCCGTTTGTATCATCAAACAAACGATTGCGTTAATCGTTGAAGTTTAAGGTAAGAGTTGACGACCGACGATTTATGCACATGGACCATGGAACCCTTTTCAAGGGGTGGCTGAACTCCGGTTAAATGTGGAAACGGAGGCAAATGACAGTGGACCCCGCCGTAAAAAAACATATGAGAGATCAGGCAGCTCCGTAAAAAGTCTCCGCTAACGTACGAAACAATATACTGAAGAGTCGTTTGGGTTAAGTTATTCATAGATAACCTAATTCAAGGTATCGGTCAGTACACTGATAGATCCTTGGCAAAACTGGCATGGAGCAGTGAAGTCTAAATCCAAAGACTATACTATGCTACCGCTAACTATTACGAACCACTCATGCGGAAGCAAGAAGGCAGCACTAGAAGTAGTTGGCATATTAGTTGCTGCAATCGTTGACTGAAGAAATCTATAAATCGCTTGCTACACACAGTTCTGCAGCAGCGGGGGCAACCGATTACGAAGATGGCATGATACAGAAATCGGTGACTAGGCCAGACGTGACATATAGTGGAGACAATAGCCAGGATGTATGCTCTGTAGCTGTGAAGAAAGCGTGGATAATTCTCTTTTTGCCCTGACATTTGGTATATTATTCTGACAACCTTGATAAATAGACGAAGTATTGTCATTTGCGCAGGAAGTAAGACGTCGTTGCTCTCAACAATGGCATGCTATTTCCTGAGCAAGTTAAAGTAGCAATGTGCAATTCTGACACCAACTTTTGGTCTTGCGTGTTCACAGAAACGCCAAATGTATAGCTAACACTAGCGTTTGTTAAATGTTTGTTACTGTATAGTGAATCTGGCGAACATGTATGTGGAGTGAGACGTGTAGTCGTTCATCTTGAAGCTCTTTTAAATCACTTACAGTGAGTTCGTGTTATTGTGAAAAGCACTTACGTGTTGGGGGGCACACTGCTGGTCTCGCTGTTTCAATTAATGTAATATAAGAGCAAATGTGCATACCGGTGGTTGTTGAATGTAATGTGACTGAATGTTTCGCCATCAGTTACAACTTTACTGATATATTGGCTTGCTGAATGCTCGAGCACGATTTAGCCTGGTACTGTGGGGGATATTTAACGATGTCCACCCGGAAATTTGTTGCAATCGATTCAGCGGCCAACTGTGGCAACGCCAAAGCCATTTATAATGATTCGGAAAGTGTTTATTTACTACTGTAGCATGGAAACCAGGAATAAGCAAAATACTATACATTGATTTACGGTTGAAAGAGGTCGAAAGCTACGACGGCACTACCAGATGCGGCACGAGATCCCTTGCTGTTACGTCAAGCCTCTTTCCTGTCTTCATTTATGGCGGCGACGGATGACTCGGACATGCAAGTTCTAGTTGATCAGCATGTGTGCAACGTCGGGAACACGCGCGCTGTTCACCAGTGCTCGCTGCGCTTGCTCGTGGCATCGGTCCCCGTGCTGCCTATACCGTTTTCCATATTAAACTCCAAGCCCGGTCATTTTAATAAAATCTGATGCAAACCCGGCACTTCGTGCATATATTTTTGAAACCAATTTGGTAAAAGTATGAGTGTGTATAGGATACTTGGGGGCGGTGCTAAGAAGCTAAGATACAACATTTTCCGAAGCAACGCCCCTCTAGCAACCGGGGCGGGATCCCGTCGGCATGTTGTTGGAGCGAGAAAAAAATCCGATGGATGTCGCTTGAGTGGCAGATAATCTATCTATCACATGTATATATGCTTGATTAAAGGGTATGCAAAATAATAGGTAATTTGACTTAATCTCAACCGGATGGGTCAACATAGCTGCATAATTTGATTAAATCACAGGCTATCCAGTATAACAGGTATTTTAGCTATAAACATCAGCAGCGCTCAAACCCATACTTAGCAGGTATTTGATGTGAGAATAATGGCACCTCAGTGGCCTTCACCCATGGACTCTGGATAAATCCAGGGAACAAGTTTGTTAACATGCCTACTCGATACAGCTTACTGGGCCTAACGTGTCCATACCCTGCAAAAACAGCGCAGTCATGAGATAACATTTTTGTCGAAATTTAGAGACTCAAGTCAGATGGTGGTTAGCATGGCGAACATATATTGAAATCAAGTCAATAAAAGAGTCGGAAGAGCTGCAGCACAGATTATATTGCGTTTCATCGTACATGTACGCGCTTGCGTTGCTACGGAGAGACGGTGAACAACACCTTAAAACTGGAGGGAGAGAATCGAATACCATAGTTTTGGGAACGGATCACCAGAGATTTGGACACCACCACCAGAGAATTGGCCGCCGCCACCAATGATCAATGAGGGATCAAATCACCAGAGATATCGCACTCCACCACCAAAGAAAAGGTGTTCTATCACCACAGAAAAGGATTACACCACCACGGTGGTGACACCCTGGTGGTGTCCACCCTATTATAGTGATGGTCAGCACGAGTAGCGAGTTCAGGCCGCCTTGCGTTTGCTGATTCTTTGGCTATCGCAGTCCAGCCTGCACGCGATGTGCTCTTCGCCAGCAATGCCTAGTAGCTCCAAGCGCTCCGACGAGATGGTGCTCGTCGACAAGCATCGGGAAGATGCGGCTGCTGGAGAGGCACAACAATGCCTACAGAGGCCACAAGGACATACAGGCCGGTACGTAGTGATCTATCACTCGCACTCATAACGACATGCTAGCCAGGTATAGCGCATTAAAATGTAGCGTTTGTTGTAAATGCAATTTTCAATTAGATGCACCGCGTTCTTTGAAGCTCGGTGAGGTGTATGGCTGTAGTGCGAGACCAACATATGAACCGCCAATGGCAAAAGCTTTAAGAAATGTATAAATGATGACTGGTGGGCGCCTTTATCAAATGCACTAGCATCTACGGCGTTTAGTCTGCTCGCATGACTGCCGACTACGACTTATCGACCCAAACGATTCTGTGCTGGCGATCTCGGCGTTGATTGTTGCCACTTGAAGTGGGGCTCTTGCGCTGCTTGCACGGGTCATTGGGGCTGCGCCGTAGTTTGAGGCGACATTTATGGTGTGTAGCACCGAATCGCTATAGCTCCGCTGGTATCCATTCGCCCCTTGATATGCAGTGCGTATCTCTGAAAGTGACTCGCTCCGCATTTCACGCTATCTTAAAAGCATTGCCTCGTACGACCCGATCTCCGCTTCAATTGGGGTCAGGCGGAATAACTCCATGCCGGCAGGCGGTTGTGCTCTCGAGGTCTTCACGAATACCACTCTCGGTATCGATGTGATGCTCGATGAATACGGGAGGCGGCGATCTAGGTTGCAGGCCAAGTACTGGAAGCTCATGAAACGTACCTAAGTGATGGCTGGTGTCATCACTTGGCGGACGGGCTTGGGGTCCTTGCTCGGGGTAGTGAGCGGCAGGATCTCCATTCGTATCAGCAGGACAAACTCGACCATCACTGCTTTCTTGGTGAGAATTGACGTCTACTTGACGCCCAGATCCTGGTCGTCGGGAACTCTGCGTGGTAGTACCAGTTTGACGTCGATTACTTACGAAGACCGGTACTGGTGCAGGCATTCCGGGGCAATGCAACGACAGTTCTCTTGTAGCATGTATCACGTGAGTACAGATGCCGAATTTCATGTTGCTAGCACCAAAAACTTGTGTCAGCACCATAAAATTCGTGAGCAGCACCATACTGCACAGCACTGCACCAGTACCAAGCGGGGGGGGGGGTGCGCTGTTGATATCACCTCCCCACAAAAAGCTCATTGTTTCATCGCAGACCGAGCTGCTCTCGATGGTATCATGCTCGACAGCCACAGCTCAAACTGTATGATCTATCAGACTCAGGCTAGAAAGCTGAGCGATAATTTCACTAGCTATAACGTCTACTTTCTTCACTAAAGGCTGTGACATACATGTAGTCATCGCCTGCTTCCAGGGCCTGTAAGTGCAACATCAAAGCCGAAAGTGGTATGCCCTCCCCACGCAGTTCATTCATCCATACCACGAGCTCCTGCTCAGCTTCAGCGGGGAGGGCCATACCTGTGCCGCTCGTCCGAGCATTCTTTTTGAGAGCTGTCTGTCCATGAGCTTTCGCCGCGGTTCGTGGAGAAACTCATCTAGACCGCTGTAGAAGGCGTTAACAGCCGCGGTGATGTCACCGCACTGTGCCCAGACATCGAGCACCTCGATCTTTCTGCTGCCGTAATTGCGGTGCGTCTGCGAGCAGGTAGCATCTAGTGGATTGGGAAATGACCCATTTTTGTGTTGTCAGTTCAAAGTGGAGGATGGCAATAAGGTATTTTGAATGGCTATAATGATTGTCAGTAATAAGCGAACGTCAGTAAAGAATGGAGGATGCCGGTACATGTTGCGGCAGTAATAAATTGCAACCCCTCTGAAGTCGAGCTAACCACCTCTGTGCCGCTACAGTACGAGCGTCGACATTTCTGGCCGGTGCATACGCACTGCAGTGATTATTTCAAGCAAATTCATCCGAGGAAATATGGTACATGTAGCTGAACGGCAAGATTCAAGAGAGGCCTTCGCCATTGGCAATGCTTCGTAGCGGATAAACGCTAGCCTTTGCACCTTATAAAAGGTTTTTGAGCAAGGTGCAATCGAGGATTTTTCTGAAACCGGCCTAGAACAGCTCAGCATGGCCACAACAGTCTGCGCTTAGATTTTGTACTCAGAATCAGATTCAGAAACGTACTCAGTCTTATCCGGTGCATTGCCTCCACTCAACTCCAGCCCTCGAAACACTCGTGGAGATGGAGTCGCGGCCGCGGTTACCGTGGCGAGAGCTCGGTATTGATCTCGTAGAACACGAAGCTGCTATCGCTCTAGAGAGACCCCGAGCTTACGATACGACGAAGAGCCATGAGACGCCGTGAACACTGTGCGGAAGGAGCCAAGACCACAAAATGCGGTACAAAAGGCTGGTTTGTGCTTCGTCGCAATGCAAGGAGGTTGTGCCTTCGACTTGTCCCTGGGAAGGCAAGGTCCTCACTTGTCTTTTGACGCGACGCACCTACCTTTTCGAAGTCGGCGAACATTACACGGACATTGGATCACCGCGAAAAAAGAAACTTTCCGAGCGCCAAAAACAATTTTGCCGAGAGCTCGCAGCTGAGCGCCTACGCCCCCAGCGGATTAGGAATGTCATGGCTCGCAAGGTTGAAGCTCCGCTGTCTTCCCTCCCGTCGCTACAAACTATTCAAAACTTTGTGAACTATTACGCGAGGACCAAGCTGGAAAATCATGATCATCTCAAGGAGCTGCAATTGTGGATTCATGCACGCGCATTTTGTGGCACAGAGGCCAAGTGTGAGCCTTTCACTTTCTCGTGGGAGCACGATCGTGCTGGCAAGCCGGTAGTTGGAACTGGCGCGGATACGAAGCCTTTTTTGGTGGGAATTACGACGAAAGTACTGATCCGACGTCTGACTGAACCTAGCGCGAACTACATCTTACATTTGGATGCCACGTTCAAGATGACCGCCAAAGACTTCCCCGTTCTGGTGGTTGGAATTTCAGACCGCAACCACAGTCTCCATTTGGTGGCATTGTTCGCCATTTCGCAAAGGCTACAGTGGATCTACGAAGGCACGCTCTCCGCTATCAAGCATCTATTTCAATGGGTCACTGGGCAACATTTGGAGCTTCTGCGGGTTATGGGGGATGCCGAAGACGCGCAATATAACGCAGTTTGGTCGGGTTTTGGGAACTCGCCGCGTTTGCAGTTTTTGATGTTTTTTTCCACGTCTTGCTCAACGTGAATAAAAAGATGAAAGCGTTTCCCTCGTATACCAAGGCTGCGCTGCTAGAAGACGTGCGCTGCTTCGGAAAGCGAGTTTGTAGTTGCGCGGGACTTGATTTTACGCAACTGGAAAAAATACGCTGGTCTGGTCGAGTTCGCTTCCCACATGAAATCCCAGTGGCTGTTTGGAAACTTTAGCGTGTGGTAGGTATACGTCAGCCCCAGTGGTTATGCGACCACCACCAGCCCGGTTGAACAGTTCAACCGGATTTTGAAACGTGACTACACTCTAAATCGGCGTCTTAAAATGGGGATGCTGCTGCGTGAGCTCAGCAACTAAAACGATGCTGCTTTCAGCCAATAGGAATCCTAAATGTGTATGGACCACCCGTCGTGGTGGTCGTAAATGTATGTAGCCATTGGTGTACCTTACACCAAGGTCGAGGAAGTGTTCAAACCTCTAACAGACACCGCATCTGTTAGAGTAACAAGTGACTGTAGCCACTTGTGCGTGTAACCCCGTTACACCATCCCCCCGTCAAGGTTAGACGTGCCGGTCTCGCCACGACAACCACCATTGACCGTTTGGTCAATGCGTGCTGTTTGAAGAGAGCGTGCTCGTTCCGTAACGAGCACGTCGAAGTTGAAGACCCCTGGCGCAGCAGCGGAGAACATCTCTGCTGCTGAGTAGCATGCGCGGCAACGTGCGAAGCGTCGCTGCCGCGGGGGCAGGTACCTACGTCTGCCCACGAAGTGTCTTCGGGCGCTGCTTTTAACAGCAGCGCTCGCATTACGTAGCGCATGGTGGGCTTCGTATGCCCTCACCATGTCCGGGACGTCTTCGAGCAAGACGTTCTGCGGCTCCCATGTATCTTGGTTGGGAGGGAATCCTTTCCAACGGATACGAAAACGAACCGGTTGCCTGTTCGTTCTCGGGATACTGTGACCAACAATCCGCTCAACTGTCCATCGAGTTGAGCCGTGTGCGCCACGAATCGGCGGTGGTGGTGGTGGAAACACGCCCCGTGTTTGGTCAACTTGGTGTTGACCCTGATCTCGCGTCTCCTCACGGCCGAGTTCCGGTCGTGGAGTAGTTCCAGAGCGCTGGGTTCGGCGCTCTGAAGTATCCTCAGGTTGCGGCGGCCTCCCAGACCGCCTCGATCGTTCCGGCCGAGCTGGACCATTAGCCCGACCCGCTGCTCCAGCGCGACTTCGCGCTGGAGAGGATGACGGCTTCCGCCGAGTCTTCTGCTTCGGTTCAGCCGAGCTAGGTAGCTCGTGCTGCAGGTATGGGTTCAGCCGTTCGAAGTAGAACGTCGGATGGAGGCGCATACTAGACGGTATGTCCATTGTGTAGGCGTTGCCGTGCCGTGCCAGCACAGTGAACGGCCCGATGAAGGGCGGAGCAAGCTTGCTTGCCCCGAAGTCTGAAACGGCATGTTTAGGCAAGTTTTGAGTAGCTAACAAGACTAATGAACCCTTCTTGAATTCATTTGTGTTGCCCCTGCCAACGTTGTCTGCGTTCAGCTTCTGTCGACCGACAGAAGCTGCAATAGCGTCTTGGACAAACCGAATGACGGCTTGTCTGCGCTGCACGAAGTTGATTGCGTCCGAGCAGAACTCGTTCAGCTCGCTTCCAGGAGTAGGCCCTGCCTCTGCGTTAGTCTTTGTGGTGTCTGTGCCCTGCACAGACACGCTCTTCTTCTTGTTGTTCTTGTTGGTGTCTGTGCCCCGCACAGACACGTTCTTCGTGCGCTTGTCGGCGTCTGTGCCCTGCACAGACGCGCGGTTCTTGGCGTTACTTCGTGTCGTTGCGGCTGACACTGTGCAAGTGCCAGCGGCATTCTGCGGCTGCTGCGTTGCAGTCGTAGATCCTCCCCCACTTAAGGAAGGAGCCATCATTCCGAGTAGACTCGGGAGGCGTGGGTGCCTGATGGCATTCACGTAGAACGGTGTATGCCCGGTCGAGGCATGCACCGAGTTGTTGATGGCGAAATCTGCCATCGGCAGACACTCGCTCCAGTGTTGGAACGAGTGAGCGTAGCTCTTACGCACGTCTACGAGCACGCGGTTCACGCGCTCGGTCTGCCCGTCCGTCTGCGGATGGTCCGCAGTCGACATCGAAAGTTGACTCCCAAGAAGTGTAAACACTTCTTGCCAAAAGTGTGCAGTGAAGCGCGGGTCTCGATCCGACACAATGTCGATCGGCATGTCATGGTGTTTGAACACCATGTCAACGAAGAGACGCGCCGTCTGTTTCGCAGTCACTTCAGCGGGTACCGCAGCAAGATGTACCATCTTGCTGAAGCGGTCAACAAAGACCACAACGCCCGTGTTCCCCTGGCTGTCCGGGGGAAGACCGAACACGAAGTCCAAAGACATGGACTGCCATCACTCCGACGGAGTCGGCAGTGACTGCAAGGGGGCCTGCGCAAAAGGCGCAGGCTTCACACGTTGGCAAACCTCGCAAGCGCGGACGTACTTGCGCACCCATTTATACTGGTGGGCCCAGTAGAAGTCCCGCGTGAGAAGAAGGTATGTCTTCTCACGGCCCGGATGCCCCGCAGTTGGCGCATCGTGATATTCATATATGATCCTGAGTCGCAGGTCGTGGTCATTGGGCACGACAACGCGGACCGCGTTGTCGTCGACTGCACTGTAGAGTAATAACCCGTCGTGCACCCGATAACGATGTGCACGAGCACGAAGATGCTTCGGCAGCTTCTGAAGAGCTCTGACAGAAGGCGCTGAGCCATAGGCCAGCAAGAGCTTCGCGTCCGCGTCGTGCGCGTACGCGACCTTCACGTTGTCCAACAGTGACAACGTTGGGGTACTCGATCGCATGGCGTCAATAGCATTGACGTCGGCATTAGTCGTGGCGTAGTCAGGTCGACGCGAGAGCGCGTCGGCCACCACATTGAGTCTTCCGGGTTTGTACTCAACCCGGAAGTTATACTCTGCGAAGAATGAGAGCCATCTCGCCATCCGTTGCGAGATGTGCGGCGACTTCACAGCCGTCCGCAGCGACGCGTGGTCCGTATAGACCACGAACGGTTTGCTTCCGAGTAGATACACTCGGAACTTCGCGAGTGCGTACTTCATGGCAAGGAGTTCCTTGTCATGATGCACCGGGTAGTTGCGCTCAGCTAGCTTCGGCTGACGCGATTGGTAGTAGCCACACGATCACGACCCTCATGATCGTGCTGCATCAACGCACATCCGATTGCGAAGTCGGATGCGTCGCACACAACGTGGAACGGGCGATCTTGGTCGGACACCGCCAAGATCGGCGCCTCAGTCAAGCCCTGCTTGACTGCATCGAAGGCCTACTGACACTCAGCAGTCCAAATCCACTCGGCGTCCTTCTTCAGGAGCTGTGACAGCGGGCGTATCATGTCCGCGTAGTCCTTCACGTACTTGCACAAGTACGTGGCCAAGCCAAGGAACTGCCGCAGTTCCTTGACGTTCGACGGCGTCGGCCACTCATTGATCACTCTGACCTTCTCAGGGTCAGGGCGGACACCGTTCTTCCCAACGAGACACCCGAGCACGGGTATCTCGCTCGCCCCGAAGATGCACTTCTTCAGGTTCGCATAGAGCTTGTGTTTGCGCATGAGCGCAAGCAGCTTCCGGAGATGCACCTAGTGCATCTCAACATCGCTCATCCTGTCCGCAGGCCGGCTGTGGACGAACACATCGTCGAAGTAGCTCGGTGCGAAGTCGCGCACCGAGCGCAACAAGTGCGTCACGCACCTGTTGAAGGTCGCAGGGGCGTTCTTCCGACCCTGTGACATCACTAGCCACTCCCAGAGCATGCCGCTCGGCGTGCTCACAGCCGTGAGAGGGATATCGCTCTCACGCATGAGGATCTGATAGAATCCATCGCGCAGATCATGAGCACTGTAGATAGTGCTCCTGGCCATCGAATCGATGATTACATCTTTTCGCGGTATCGGCGTCTGCGCCGGAATCGTCGCATCGTTTAGCTTGTTGTACGCATGAAAGATGTGCCAGCCGCCCTGTGGCTTCTTGACACAGAACGTCGGAGCACTGTGCGGGGATTTCGATTCCCGCACTTGTCCAGCTTTGCGACGACTTTCGAAGAAGTCGTCGATCGCCTTGACCTGCTCTCGCGGCAGTGGCCACTGCCGCGTGACACAGTACTCGTCCCCGGCACGAGATCAATCTCGTACCGGATGCCCTTGTCCTGCGGAAGCTCCGCAGGGATCTCTTCTGGAAGCACGTCCGCGTGCTCCCGTAGAATCTCGTAGAAGGGGCTGGTCTTCAGCGAGTCCCAGCTCTGCTCCTCAAAGCACTCCCTCTTAGTCTTCGCACTGAGAGTGTCCTCTCAGTGCTGCTCTCCATGAAGAACTGCCTCAGTTCTTCATTCTTGCTCTTCGTTCTCTCGGCGTCCATCGTGCAAGTAACGCGCGAAGCGCTTCCAGCTAATGACTGGACGCTAAGTCAACTCCGACGCTTGCGTCGGAGGGTTAGCGAGAGTCATCTCCCTGTACCGGAACCTGGCACAGGTACGCGTCAAGACGTTCAGCGTCTCGACGTCCGCCTTCTCAGCCTCCGTCTGCCCGGCAGACATTTCTTGTAGCGTCTCGGCCCCGGGCCGAGACTTGCGCAGCGACCTTCGCATGCGCCGTCTTCTTGTTTTGCGGAGCCCGGCTCCGCTTGGTTCTTGACCTCGTCCAGGCCCAGCCGTGGACGGGTGTTCTTCTTCAGTACCGCCGGCGGGCTCATTCCGCGGGCGAGCGACTTCAAGCCCGGCTTGGTCGCCCGGCGCTTCGTCGTGCAGCCCGGCTGCACGACAGCATGCAAGTTTTTCCGGTACGGGACGTTTGCAACCGTCGGCACCGCTTGCAGCGTCGACTCCCGGAGTCGACACGCCATCCTTACCTCGACGCCTGTTATTGGCGGAGCCCTCCGTTACAGCTACCGTCTTCTCCGTGCTCTCCAGCTCGTCTCTCTCCAAGCTGGCAGATTCTCGAGTGTCCGGGCCTCTCGGCCGCCCGTTCCGCGCTCTGCCACCGTCCTTCAATGTCGAGTCGACGCTGGCCCTGGATTCAGGCCATGCGTGCTGCCGTCCGTAGGGTGCGTCGGCTCCCCGAGCCGACAAATCAAATTCGTTCCAGCTATCGAATCCCGGAGTCGATGCGACTTCAATACCTCGACGCCAACCATTGGCGGAGACCCCATTACGGAGGGTGCGTCGTCTCCCAGAGCTGACGAATCAAATTCGTCCAAGCTATCGACTCCCGGAGTCGACGGCGTTTCGTCACCTTGGCTCTTATTGTTGGCCAAAACTGATCCAATCCAATTCGCGTCAGCCTCCACGGCTGAAGCGTGTGACTTGCCTGCGTCATCCGTGCCCCTTGAGGTCGGAGACTCTTCCTGATTCGCTGAAAAGCGGGTGTCGACCTCTGAGGTCAACACATTTTCTCCTTCAGCCGTCGGCGGCGACGCCGACGCTTGCTGCTCTTGCGCGTGTGCTCGCACGCGCCCAGGGCACTCCGGGACAGCGGCATTAGGCGCTGTCTCGAGTGGGGAGTTGCGAGCACCTGTCCGTGCGTGCGTAGCGGCAACAGGGCCATCGCTCACTGTTCTGCTGTCGCGACCGAAGCGCACGAGAGTGCGCTTCTCCCAATCGATGACCGGATCATGCCGTGCAAGCCACGGCATGCCCAATACAATGTCAAACTTATCGTTCAGATCCAGGACGATAAAGGTCTCGACAAACTCTTGATCTTCATACGTGAAGCGCACGCGTGTGGTGTAGTACCCCGCAGAAGAAGTGGGCGCACCGGGCGCCGGAGGAAGAAGGCACCAGGACACGAGTGATGGACCTCGACGCGGCTGATGGAATGCGACGCGGATGGATGGGCGCGACGCAGGGCCGAGATCGACGGGAAAGTCGGCGTGGGTGATGGGCCGTGAGACACGGTGCCAGAATCCAGTGCGTCGCGTAATCATCCGACGGGTCGACCAGCGCGCCCGGTTCTGCAAAACGCGCCGACCCTAAACCCCGCCGAGCAAAACGCGCCGAGCAAAACGCGCCCTAACCCCCGCCGACCAAAACACGCTGAGGAAAGATCTTGATTGCGCCACGTAAATCAGGTTGAAGCACGGTAGTGCAAGCACGACAGAATTTAGGATAGGCACAGAACGGTAGGCTTAGCAAGCGGTAGTACAGAGTAGCCAGTAGCAAGGACATAGGATAGGGTAAGGACTCAGTCCCGAAATTTCTCTGAACCACAAAGACCTCCCGTCTTCTCCGAGGTTCCAGGGGAACCACCAAGCACCGGCAAGTAGAGCCGCCTCGATATCGCGGCCCCCCGTCGTTTGCTGGTTCGGGTGCTCACCCCCCCCCCCCCACAGACCCGTGCTGGAACAAAGGCACGTTCAACGTATACCGTTTAGATGGGCGCCCGATAACGCGCTGCCTAGGCGAAGGACCGCACTGGCCTGATAACCGCCGTGCACAAGACCCCCGTGTACGCCCGATAACGCCATACAACCCCCAGGAAACGCCGGCCCGATAACGCCGCACGCCCGACGGGAACGCCGAGGAAACGCCGGCCCGATAACGCCGCACGCCCAAGGCTCGACGCCCTACGACAAGGAACAAGCGTCAACACAAGAACCCCTAACTCCGAAGCCTGGGAAGACTTGGGCCTGTATTTCGAAGATACGCTACTCCAACAACCGGGAATAATTTGCTCGGCGCGACCGCTATCCAGACGCGCCGAGTTTGTGCGAGATCGCATTCGCGAGATTTCTGCGAGGGCGCTACTTCACAATGGTGCCGCGACCGGCGAGTACTACTTCGAATGACGGACTAACGATCCAAGAGGCATCGGAGGCAGGTGCGCAGTCGGCTGGAAGGTCGCCGACCGCAAGAGAACACAGTGAGAGACCTGTCGCGTCATGGAGCTCTGAGGGAACCTTCACGACAGGCCACGGGGCCAGCGACGACCAGGAGGACTACGAAGAACAGTTTGCCGTTCCCGATGCGGCTCCCGACGAGGGAGCCGCGAAGGGCCGCGACGCAAGTCGCGGTCCTACCGGTCGGAAGCCTGCAAAGGCCGACGACCAACAACAACCCACCGCCAAGGCAGCCACGAAGCGCAAGCCGCCCAAGAGGAAGAAAAAGAAGCTGCGCGCGCCGAAGTCGGCGGAGGGGTCGCTGCCCAAGCCGCAAGGCCACGGGACGTCAGTACACCGGCGAGGAGGTACTGTACGTTGTGGCGCGCACGGAGCTCTTCCGTCTGCTAGAACAAGACCCAATCTTGGTCTTCCTCAAGCCCATGCTGATGAGCAACTTCACAGGCCCCTTCGTGGCACCGGACTTCGATAGTCTCACCAGCGTTGCCCACGCCGCGCCGACTCTCTTCCAGATGGTGCGTGACTCGGGGTTCGTGCTGGGGGCTTTCGAGATGGAGAGGCTGTGCGATTGGGACTTCAAATCTTGGTTACGTGCGATTCGCGTCGTGCAGGAGCCCTTGACGACTCTCGCCGGATCCATCAAACAAGCCGCGATGAGTTCTGCGACGGGCCAAGACGCGCCGAGCCCCTCGGCGGGTCCAGCCCAGACTTCGACGACCACGCCCTCACCTCCACCTCGATACCAATCAAGCGTGGACTCCGACAGCAGTTTCGAGTCGCCCAAGCGCATGCCCATGAACCGGCCGCCGCGCGTCATGCAGCTATCCGCGGCGCCCACACGCACAGAGGTGACGAAACCCGCCGAGGAGGTGCTTCCCAAGGCCTTGAGAGAATCTATCATCAAGCTGATGCAGATGACAGTGATGAACACCCCGCGGGCCAACACGGCCGCAATTCCGACGGGGCCGAAGGCTCCCGCGAATCTCACACCCACGGTGGCTCGCCCCCAGGAGGCAGCGGATGTCGCCATGGAGTCGGTCAGTTCGCGTTCTTCGACGAGGTCCAGGACTCGACGCGACGCGGACGAGGACCCCGATGACCTGTTCGACTTGGACATCGGAGTGCCAAGAACCACGGCCGCCGTCTCAACGGCAACAGCCGGCGGCGTAGTCCTCGCTCGCGTACGCCTCTCAGCATCTTCCGAGCTGAAAGAGTTCTCGGGACGGGACGCCAGCGAAGAGAAAGCCAGACTGTGGCTCAACCGTCTGAAGTCCGCCGCGCGGCGCGACGGGATGACGGGCGAAGAAGTGTGCAGGCAGTTCAGCGATCTAATGAGCGGCCCTGCGCGCCAATGGTATCTCCAGTTGCCCAGGAAGGTCAAGCAATCATGGACCGAGCTGATGGAGCAATTCGGGGTGCAGTACTGCGGCAAGGGCGTGTCAATGGCCAGTCGCTACTACCATGCGGCTCAGCGCCCCGACGAGACCCCTCTGGATTACTTGTACCGGCTCAACGTCGCGGGCTTGAGGGCCAACATCCCATACGCCGAGGGTACGACTGAAGAGAAGCGCGAACACGTCGAGCATTTCATCCGGACGCTGAACACGCAGGAGGCCGAACTCACCTCGCCTCTTACGCTGGTGGAGGTCGCCGACTCCGAGGCGCTGGAGAAGAAGCTGCGTGCTCGACAACGGGGACTGGCCCACCAGAAAATGACTCTCTCGGCTCGAACAAGTTCCGTCAAAAGGCGCTGACCCCACCGATTCAGCCGGCGCGCGCCGTGCATGCGATTCACGTCGCGTCGGACGAGTACGATTCGGGACGCGAAAGTCGCGACAGCGACGATCGCCAGTACGACCAAGACGAGGCGGACGAAGAACGCGCCAAGTTGTTCGTCGCGGGATGGGCCCCGCCGGGAGAGCCGGCGCGTTCCAACTTCGATCCCGACGACTCGGGACGCGCCCGGCCGCCGAGAAGATGTTAAACTAGGACGCTCGCTGGCTTGGAAACCAGTACGAGACGAGCGACCTGTTTCCGTCTATGCATATGTGACCAAGAAGTCGCGAGAGGTGGTTTGGTAGAGCCCGACTTCCCTGAATGATAATACATGTGAATCCAACCTGGAACGTACCACGCAAGAACGCGCGCCGCGAATCGCGGCGGTCCGACGGACGACGGACGACGAGTTTGCACGTGAACCACCCCTGGACGAGATCGACTTGCCACCAGGAGAGCGACGCGGGTACTGGAAACATTACGCGCCGCACAAGTGGTACAAGCAGGCCAAGATTCATGGAAAGCAGAACAACCGCCGTGCTGTGTTATTGCTCGACACAGGTGCCGAGGAGTCCATCCTGGACACCACCTTTGCTCGTGAGGTAGGCTGCCTGATTGACACGGAGATCACGCAAGAGTGTGTGGGAATTCGTGATGAGACATATTACACGGTGGGGAGAACCAGAGTCAAGATTACCTTGGCTGGGAACTTAGTGTACTACATGCACCTGTGGGTCGGCCAACACGCAATCCTGGGAATGAACTTCATGGTGCCCGCTGGAGTGCGCATCGACAGTGGACAGCACGGCGTGCTTCCCCGACGAGGTGCATATCCAGATGATCGGGCGAAGACCGCTATACGGCGCACGGATGCACTCGGTTAACGTCAAGACGCCTGTGAGGCTCGAACCAGGAGACACGCATGAAGTCTTGCTAAGGCCGGATCGAAACGCGCCGTTCCTGTGGGTGACACGGGCAGAGTCGTGGGTGACTACCTTTGTCAAGGGGAGAGTCGGAAAGAAAACGTACCTGCGTGTCATGAACATCGGAGACGCAGCGATAACCCTCGACGCGCATGAAACGCTTGGGTGGTGGACGCCGTCTGGTGGCCAGCCTCGGAACCGTGGATTCGTCCGACTGGGCTCCACCCGGTACCAGCAGTGGCAGAATCTGGCGTACGGCGCGACGCGCGACGCGTAGGAGAACTGGATCCCAGCCGAGCTCGACGGACCGATGACGGATCGCCCCTCATACCCGAAGCCTAAAGCCATCTTGCGCCCGGAGCCGAGACAACTCGGGACGCGACGCGCCTTGACCCCAGTGTTGGCGGCTGTCGCGGAAGCGCCGAAGGGAAGGGGGGTAGACTTGCCACTCGACGATCACAAGCCGGATACGGACGAGGAGGCGGTGGAAAGCGAACCCGATATGCCTCCGACTGTGGCTAGAAGCGCTGCAATGGAAGAATTGCCGGAGTCGGAACTCGCTGAGCCAAAACTCGACGGACCAAACCCCGCCGAGCCGAATTTCGACGAGGCGAAACCTGATGAGCAGGAGGAAGACGACGCGGTCCTCATCCACGAGGGGTCCGACCTCTTCGTAGAGGTTCTCGAGTCGGAGATGGCAGTGCTGCCAGACCTCTCGCTGACCGCCGAGGTGAAGATCGAGGACTTGAAGGTCGGCATGCCGACTGGCCAAAGGCTTGCGCCTCAGTACGAAGAGGGCGAAGGCGGGATGCTCTACTACCAGCCGAGAAGCGACGATTCCGCCGAGGATCGCGATGTGATGATGAAGCTGGTGATCCCGGAGACTCTTCGGGAAGATGTACTCGACCACAATCACGCGAGCCTGGAAGGCGGACACCAGGGAATTGGCCGCAGGTACCAACGCCTGAGGCGCCCCTTCCATTGGCCAGGGATCTTCAGAAGCGTCCAGCGCTACGTCGGCGAATGTACCGACTGCGAGACAGGAAAGGGTCGGCCGACCATCCAGGGCGAGTCGCCGGGCAACATCGTCGCGACGTACCCGTTCCAGGTCATTGCCATGGACCATATTCCGTCGTTGCCGGCATCCTACAAAGGCAACACAGAGCTGTTAGTCTGGGTCGACCTCTTCACGGGGTTCGTCGTGGTCAAAGCGAATGCGTCACGAACCGCGCAGACGGTGGCCGAGGCGTACGAGGAGGCGGTGTTCAGGCGCTTCGGCGCGAGCGAGGCTATCCGCCACGACCGCGAGCCGGGCTTCATGTCCGACTTCTTCAAGGCGTTCAGCAAACTCATGGGTCAGAGACAGCGAGCGACGCTTGCTTATCGTCCCCAAGCCAACGGTGCTGCAGAACGGACAGTGCAGACGGTTACAAGAGCGATCAAGATGTACATCGCAGACGTCGACCAACGCGACTGGGACGAATACGCCGAGCGTCTTACCTTCGCGCTAAACACGTCGCACGACCGGACGAGAAATGAAACCCCGTTCTTCTTAGTGCACGGCTGGGAGCCTCGGTCGACGCTGGAAGCGACGCTGGCCGCGACATGAGATCGCGACGGGCTCGCAAGTTTGGTTGTACCTGGATCGGGTGAAGCCGGGGTATGCGCGCAAACTCGCGCACATGTGGCACGGACCCTTCCGCGTCGCCGAGCTGGTCAACGCATTCGCAGTGCGCCTCGAGACGACGGGTACGCCCTATCAGCTTTACCCCGTCGTCCACATCTCCAAGATGAAGCCCGTCCGGGAATTCCCGTCGCGACCCACGACGCAGCTGACGGTGCCGACCGAGGAGCGCTTCGACTTCGACGAGGAGCTCTTGCCGGAGGACAGCTGGGAAGTCACGCGCGAGCTAGAGGACGACGTCTTCGAGGTCGAGAAGATCGTGAACGTGCGCGAGGGGCGGGCTACCCGGTATGGGCGCACGCGACGCGAGTTCGAAGTCAAATGGAAGGGCTACCGGGACACGACGTGGGTCGACGAGCTCGATCTGAATTGCGGCGGGTTGCTGTACGACTTCCTGCGCCAGCGCACGGGACGCAACCGGTTCGAGGCGATGCAGTCGAACGAGAACGCGGAGGCGGCGGAGCCTGGTGGGTGAACGCCCACGGGTGCGACTAAGTCGGCAGGGGTGCTGCCGACGAGAGGACTGGTGGGAAGCCTCAACTCTGGGAATGGCCGGAGCGAGGGATTGGATGAGGGAAGTGAGGAGGACCAGCCTGTTGCTGAAGATGCGTCGGCGGAGGGCCGTCTCATAAAAGATGTGGAGAAGTGGAAAGAAACAAGGGAAAAGATCAAGGCTACGTGTTGAAGTTACGGCTACAACAACTAAACGCGACGGACTGCAACGATGGGCCAAGACTCAAACCTGCTGGACAAACTTACCTGCAAGACGCGGCACATGGAAGGCTGGGTGATCGCGCGTCACTCGGCAGCGTACGTTGGCGTCCATCTCGGCCACAGTGAGCGGCGTTCGATAGAACCGGCGCCAGGGCTCCTGCGCGTCGATGTCGCCGAGCGCTGCTTGCAACGTCGCGTGCTGGAGGACTGGATACCACCGTCCGATCGACGTGTGCGCGGGCGGAAAGTGAAGCACCATTGGGTCCAGCAAGAGGTCCATGTCTGCGAGCCCTTGCTGGAACAGCCCGACCACCAGCTGCAACAGGCTGTTGAGGTGGTTGCCCGCGTGTGAGCGACGCGAGTTGCGCGCCGTGCGCCACCTTTTCCACGCCGCGCCCTGCACGAACAGCTCATGGGTGGCCTCCCAGTACGCCTGAGCCCAGTGCTCGATGTGGTGCCGGAGCCGACGTAGCAATGGGCGGAACGCCGCGTCGCCGGACGCGAAGGGAAGCGCCTCAGCGGCTTGAGCGAGGTAGCGCCACGACCGAGTCACGTATAGCGCGTCGACGTTGGCCAGAGTCATGAGGGCGCGGTTCCAGTTTGCAGGCGCGGGGGGAACACGGCGCGGAATGATCCAGCCGGGCGGCAGCAGGAAGAGCGTTCGCAACTCCTGCACGGTGATGAGATGAAGGCGGAGACGTCGTACCCGCTTGGACCAAGGAGCGTAGCGAGGCTGCCGCCAGCCAGACGGAGCTCCGGCAGGCGGAATCACAGGGTCGAAGAAGGGCGCCGCCGGAGCACTCCCCGCCGAGCCGCTGGAGGCGGTGCTCGAGGACGAGGCGCGGGACGACGAGGAAGCGGACGAATCGTTGCCACTGGAGTCGCCCGAATCGCCCGGACCAGTGCCTGGTCCAGCTCCGGCTGCCGCACGGCCCCTCGACAAGGAGTGCGTCGGCCGTGCAGGAGAAGAGTGACGCGAGGCCGCCGACCCCGTCGAGTGCGCCGACCCCGCCGCGTGCGCCGAACGCGTTGAGCCGGCCGAACGCGTCGACGCCAAGGAGGGCGAGCGAGAACGCGAGCGCGAGCGTGGAGGCGAGTGCGAACGTGAACGAGAGGCCGAGCGGGAACGCGAACGCGAAGCAGAACGGGAGCGCGGGGGTGTCCGGGAACGTGACTGCGAACGTGGAGGCGGACGCGCCGGCGACCGTGAGCGAGACCCGGGGCTATGCAGCCGGCGGCGCTTGGACTGAGCTCGCCGCGCTTGGTCCTCGCTGTCCGAAGACTCGGAGCCGAAGAGCGACGCGTCCTCTCGTGCGCACGCTGCAGCGGCCGTAGAGGGCGTAGCTGCAGATGAGGCCTGCGCAGCGGTGTTGTCGGAGGCCGCAGTGTCGACCACGGTAGAGAGCCGTCGACTACGTCGAAGGGGCGAAGAACCAGACGACGTAGCGGACGCCACTCCTGACGGCCTAGACGCGCGTGACTGAGAACCCGAACGACTCGACGCGCCGTGTCGAGGTCGCCGAAAACCCGACGAGGACGAGGCAGCGGACGAAGTCGGAACAGGACGGGAGCGTGAAGGACCTGTTGGAGGGGAAGCGCCAGTCGTCGAGCCCGCCGTCGAAGCCGACCAGCCCGCCCGGGCACCAGAGCTCGACGCAGTTGGAGCAGGAACAGGAACCGCGGATGCCACAGGAACTGCTGCGGACGTAGGAATAGCAGGAGGGAGGGGGATCGCACCGTCGATCTCCGCCGTGAAAGTGGCTTCGAGTCACCTGACCAGGTCAGCGCTGTCGATCTGCCCGCCTACACGCGTTACGACGCCGGCGAGACGATCAGCAAGCTCGTCGCACACCCGCCGCGCCAGCTCTCGGCCCCGACGCGCGTCTCGAAGCATCCGACGCCAAGCCACAGCGCGTTCGTCGCGCTCTCGGATGGCCAAGTCGCGCTCCTCCTCCAGTTCGGCGACGCGAGCGCTGAGACGATGGGTCTGGGCGCCGACTCCTCCTCGACGCTGCTGAGACGACCGCCGCATGGACAGCCACCCAGCTCGATACTGCGCCGCGCGAGATGTGGCGCAAAGTTCGACGGCTTGAGCCCGCGACATCTCGGACTCGGCGGCCACACGGAGAGTCGTAGCAGTAGCCACTGACTCCTCCAGCTCGTGGATACGCGTCGCGCCGCGGCGGAGCTCCTCGGCGTGGGCCACTAAGAGCGCGTTAACGCGCCGAAGGTCGTCCTGCAGCGGGACGTTCAGGTTCTGGGCCGCCTCGATATTCATGCGGCTCTGAGAAAGCGACGCACGGGCCGCGCGGAGCTCTTCGTCGACAGGGGCGCCCTGCTGCTCCAGAGCGGTCAAGGCCTGACGAGCCTGATCTCTCTCGGCGACGGCAGCGTCTCGTCGCTGCTCAAGGGCGGCCACGGCTTGACGTGCCCGGTCCCTCTCGGTGACAGCAGCGTCTTGCTCGCGTCTCACGGCCGTGGAGGCTCGACGCACTTGATCTCGTATGTCGAGGGCCCCGTCACGCTCTTGCTCGACGACCATGAGAACGCGGGTCACGCGGTCACGCTCGGCGAGAGCGGCGTCGCGCTGCTGCTCGGCAGTGGCTACGAGCTGCCGCATGTGATCTCGTTCAGCTTCGGCGGCGGCCACGCGCGCTTGGGCAGGAGCGAAGGCAGTTTAGGCGGCTGCGGGGTCGACGCGAAGGTCGTCACGCTCGGCGCGCGCGTCGTCGCGCTCGCCTTGTGCAGCAAACAGCGGGGCTAGCGGCACGGTGGATGGAGGCGGTGTAGCAGGAGCGCGCGCGAGTTGGGCGGTCAAGTCAGTGACCTGGTCTTGTGCCGCCCGGAGCTGAGCTTGAAGATTACGATATTGCTCTGTC